GATAGGTGAGAGTGCTAAATCTAAAATGTGAGGAGCGTGATCAGAAATAACGATAGCAGAATATTCAGTGGATTTCACAGCAGGTAGAAAAGCCATGTCTATGAAAAAAATAGTCGATGCGGGAATAAGCTTGGTGTACTTTGGAGAAATAAGAAAATTCTTTTGAGAATGGGTGGAGCAGGCGCCAAGCATCTATGCAGCCCAACTAGCTCATAATAGATGATAATGTCTTCGACATGACAGAGGGTACTTTCGAGTGGGATCGGTCAAGTTTGGGGTCTATTACTAGGTTCAGGTCTCCCCCTAAAATGAGACGATGAGTATCCAAGTTGGGCATTTTTGAAAAAAGGGAAGTCATAAAATTTGGGTTGTCCCAATTAGGGGCGTAAACATTAACCAATGCAACTTAAGTCTGATATAATGTGCCACTTACTATAACATAACCCCATGGGGAATCAGACATGATCTGATCAGGGGAGAACTGGATACATTTGTTAATAAGAATAGCAGCACCCCTGGATTTATTATTGAAAGCTGAATGAAATATTTGCCCAACCCATGGTTTGCGTATTTTGCAATGATCATTTATACGCAAATGGGTCTCCTGAAGGAAAGCAATGTCAGTGTTAAGACCCTTGAGGTGTGAAAACACTTTGGATCGCTTTTTTGGGCCCCCCAAGTCCATGAACATTCCAACTCACCAGCCGAATACTAGACCCACTCAGTCCTCTCTGGGAGATACTTGGGTTAACCATTAATCACTTGTGAATGATTAAATAAAAAGATATTAATAAGAGTGGTAGGAAATAAATGAGCATCCTGGTTAGGAACCAGATGAGCATTACGGTAGCATCCAGATGAAGTTAGCTTTAAGAAAGAAACATAAAAAACCTCCCAGTAAATAAAGAAAAGACACACATTCCTCCAAAAACACACTGGTCCGTGTTTAGACTGCAAACCATCCAACAAGTTGCTTCCTAAGCTCGTCATTACAGAACAAAACGAGTTGCAGGACTGGAATACACACAACTGGTTTACCATGCAGTAGGTTCTATCTCCTGATGAACCAAAATATACACCATATAAAAGTTTGTAACAGTTATTTATGAAAGCAATCTGGAGTAACACTGAAAGGCGGGAAAAAGGAAGGACCAGTAATTGTACCAGACTGAACACGTAATCCTCCGGGCTAAAATGTGCAGGCAAAGATATGAGAAAATCCCTCTTTAAAATTACTAAGTGAATAAAAACGAAATAAAAAAATAAATTACACAAAAATAAATTGTTTCAGGCCATAAACTGGTGATTTCAAGCCCTATACAAAGTAAAGACAGTGGTGGATTTTAATACCCACATGTCAGGGAATTAAAAGTGTGTTTCCTTGAATAGACAAGACATTTTATATATAAACAAAACACAAAAGCCACAGGTGGAATAAAGCAAAACAGCTGGCCATGATACTTAAACACTGTCCACATTTAACTGGAGATGGGATGGAGTAATATGTGATACTGCTCATAGTCTGTGGTCCCTTTCAACAGTGTAGTCGCGCCCTACCTCAAGAAAGTCCAGCAAAAAAATAAGATAAATAAAGATAATGGTCCCAAAAGAATCGTTCACATGTATCGTTGATCGTTCTGCTCTGAGTCAAAGATGGAGGTCACACCATTGGAAGTGACGCGCAGCCGGGCAGGGTAGATCATGCCGAATCGTATCCCTATCTTAAAAAGCAAGGATTTCACCTGTTTGAAAGCAGCTCGCCTCTTCGCCACTGCAGCACTGAAGTCCTCGTAAAACTTGATGTTATGACCCCGATAAATCATATTGCGGTGTTCATTTGCCCAAAGCAACACTCTCTCTTTCTCTTTGATCCTTGACCTGAGATAACTTCTGTTATGAATTGGCGCTATACAAATAAAATTGAATTGAATTGAATTGAATTGACGAGGTTTGAGTCTGAGACTATGATGGGCACGGTCTAGTTCAGGTGTGGAGTTCGATAGTGCGTCTGCAGCCACTTCCTTGAGTTAAAACAGGTAGTTACACCAAAAATATACTTGAAAGAATTATGTAATTAACACATTTACGGAGGTATGCCCCCACACGTCCGTCCTCTACATCGTCAAACCGGAAGTCCCAATAATTTCCTCTTTATAGGGGCAATAGAATCTAATGTTGATCGTAGTGAGCCTGCAGCACTATTAACAAGATTATCAATTTGGGAGGGACTAAAGTTATTATAGGACTCTGTTATATTCAGACATGGCATTGAATTAAACATTGATGGAATCTCCTCCTTAGATTTAGCTACAGCACTGTCAGATAGGCATCTGCTATAGGAAGTTTTGCCTAATGGCTCATAATCTAGTAATATGAATTCAAAAAGTTATTAAATAATGGTCAGATGGGAAAGGATTTTGTGGGAAGACTATTAAATGTTCAATATCAATGCCATATGATAGAACAAGGTCAAGAGTGTGATTAAAACAATGAGTGGGTTTATTTACACTCTGACAGAAGCCAATTGAGTCTATTAATGAGATAAATGTGTTACTAAGGCTGTCATTGTCAACATCCACATGAATATTAAAATCACCAACAATAATTACTTTATCTGTTTTAAGGACTAAACTTGATAAAAACTCTGAGAATTCAGATAGAAAATCCGAGTTCGGTCCAGGAGCGCGGTACACTATAACAAATAGAACTGGCTGTAGTGTTTTCCAGGTCGAGTGAGAAAGACTAAGAACAAGGCTTCCAAATGAATTATAATTTAGTTTAGGTTTAGGGTCAATTAAAATGCTCGAATCATATATTGCTGCTACTCCACCTCCTCTGCCGGTGCCTCGAGGACTATGAGTATTAATATGACTAGGGGGGGATTCATTTAGGCTAACATACTCCTCGTGGGACAACCAGGTCTCAGTAAGACAAAGTAAATCAATATCATAATCTGATATTAATTTATTAACTAAAACAGCTTTAGAGGACAGAGACCTGATATTTAACAGCCCACATTTCATTCTCTTATTTTGTGCTACTGAGGAGTTTGTTTTAATTTTTATTAGGTTTTTATGTTTAATTCCTCTTGTTTTTATTTCTTTAAATAATTTAGGTGGTAGGGGGACAGACACAGTCTCTATGGGGTTTTGGGTGGGTAACTGCTCTAGTGGAAGCGCAGAGAAGTGTGTAAGACAGCAGCTCTGCTTCCTGGTCCCATTTTTGGATTGTCAGGTTTTAGAAATAAACTTTGTCATATTCCTGGATAAGAGAGCCGCTCCATCCAAAGTGGGATGGATGCCGTCTCTCCTATTCAGACCAGGCTTTCCCCAAAAAGGCTGCCAGTTATCTATAAAGCCCACATCGTTTTCAGGACACCACCTCGACAGCCAGCGGTGGAATGATGATATGCGGCTATACATGTCATCACTGGTCAGATTGGGCAGCGGTCCAGAGACTACGGAGTCCGACATTGTTTTGCATATCTACACACGGACTCCGCATTCATTTTGGTGACTTTCGATTGGCATAATCGGGTGTCATTACCGCCGACGTGAATAACAATCTTATTATATTTACGCTTATCTTTAGCCAGCAGTTTTAAATACGATTCAGTGTCGCCTGCTCTGGCCCCAGGGATACATTTAACTGTTGCCTCTGGCTTTGCTTGATTGACGTTTCTGACTATTGAGCTGCCAATAATCAGAGTTGGTTTCTCAGCGGGTGTGTCGCTGAGTGGGGAAAATCTTTTTCGTTTAATCCAAATCGCTCTCCTTAAACTCATACTGTTACAGACATTCACCTGGAAGTTGCCCAGTATGACATAATGGTAATTGTAAATGGACTGTACTTGTATAGCGCCTTTCAAGTCTTCTGACCACTCAAAGCGCTTTTACACTACATGCCACATTTACCCATTCCCACACATTCATACAGTGAGAAAAAGTGTTCAACACAATCTCCCAGTGAAACTGATTGGTAAACTCTGGGCTGGAGTACCACACTCTGCAACTGGATAGTGGACTTCCTCACAAACAGACGCCAGACAGTTTGGATTGGTGGTTACACCTCCTCCACTCAAGTGCTCAGCCCCCTCCTGTTCACACTGTATACCCATGACCGCATCGCCTGACATGAACCCAACTCTGTTGTGAATTCACACAATGATGACACTTCATATCGGGATAAAAACAAGAATCTTGCAGAGTGGTGCACAGAAAACCACTTACTGTTCAACATCAGCAAAACTAAGGAGCTGATTTTAGGACAAAGGGGGCAAAGACACACTCCCCCGTTCACATCAGTGGAGCTCAGGGTGATCAGGTGAACGGTTTTAGGTTTCTAGAAATTAACATCACAGAATGGTCATCTTACATCTCCACCCTAGTTAAAAAAGCACAGAAACAACAGTATTTTGTTAGGGCGGCTGTGGTGCAGAGGCAGAGCGGGTCATCCCCTAATCGGAAGGTTGTTGGTGCGATCCCCGGCTCCTCCTGCCGCATGTCGATATACTGTGTTATAGAACGTTTCTGTTCGATGGGCTTTGACATCGCTGAGTGAATGTGTGTGAAAGGGTTAATGTGGCATGTAGTGTAAAAGGGCTTTGAGTGGTTGGAAGACTAGAAAGACGCTATACAAGTACAGGTCCATTTACCATATTTCCTAAAAAAACTTAAGAAAGTAAAAATTCTAATGCCAAGTTTTTGTTAACCTTTACAAAGGAGCAATAGAAAGCATTCTGACTGAAAATACCACAAGCTTGCATGGGATGTGCACAGCCCAGGACAGGAGGATTTTGCAGTGACTCGTTAAAAAAACTCCACAGAGATCATTAGTACTCATCTACCCAGCATCAATGATATTGAGGTGCCCGCGCCAAGGCCCAAGGGATACTAAATAACAGTACCCACCTCAGCCACAGCCTGTTCACCCTGCTGCCAAAGACATAAACATTTGAAAATACCCAACTGACTGATGAATCAAATAAAATTAGTTCTGACCTTTCCAAAAAACTTAATCTGCTGTTCATAAGGAATCTTCTCCCCCGTCGGTCTCGTTTCCACATCTGAACAACAGGTAGAACACAATAAAAGACAATGAGGTCAGGAAAGATTTACACTGTGACAATCATCTGCACATTGCCTTGTGGTTGAGCTTAGAGCAAGATTTTTCTAAAAAAAAATGTCCTAAAAAAATTATGCAGTTCAATTTGTGGTGCACATTACAGCACATTACAGCCCAGAGTTCAGTTACACACAGGGGCATGCACATAGCATTATATTAATTTCAAAACCTTCATTTGTTTATTATTTACAGAATAACATGAAAGTCTCACCAAACTCCATCATGTGTTGGTGTGCCTGGTCTACGTATGTAATGAGCTGCTGGAGGAAGGTGTAGGCAAATCGTTTCTCAATAGCAGGAGTGTCCAGCTCCTGCGACTTTACACCTCTAGAAACAACATACACACTCTTCAGGGAATGATGTGAAATTTAAAGAGAGGATATAGCAATCATCATCTGAGTATCCAGTACAGAGATACAGTAGGTCTGGGATGTGTTTAGCTTTGCTTAGGCCAAAGACCTAGAAGAATGTGGAAAAATACCTTCTAATAACAGTAATGCTGTTTTATTGAACTGCAATTATCACAGCTCATATTTGAATTCAAAATTCTTTATAGTACCTCCAATCTGTGTGTAAAGCCAATTTCTTACCTAGACACGGTGTAACCATTGATCTGGAGGAACTTGAGGATGTCTTGTGCTTTTTGTCTATCTTTGGATTTCTCTTTGGCAGTCAGTGTATCATAGGGAACCAGCAAAGGATGGTTTCCTCCACCTAGAGACAACAGCAATACAACAGAATGGAGAACAGAGAACGGAGAGAACGGCTATTTGTCTGAGCACCCCTTTCAATGGGCAGTAAAAGCTAACAGAACCTCAGAAGCATGAACATTTAGCTAACTGTATTAGTGGCCTTGAAATTAGTGGTTATTGCTTTCCTGATTTCACCTAATGATCTTTGTATTCTGGTTGAAAAACACAGTTTTGAATTATTTTGTCATGGTTTTGAGAAAAAATCCAAAAGTGGAATGCTGATGGCAGTACAGAAAAAAGGTAAAGGAAAACATATGCAGATTTGTTGTGTTATATCTACCTTTGGCTTCCAACTCCATTTTTTTTTTCCTGGCCCAGATATTATGATAATTCTCTGCAAGCAGCTCTGCCATTGACTGGAGAAACACAATGTTACATATGTGATTTACACTGCACGTCAATTCATATATCCATCCATAAAATCATAGTTTTTATATTCATTTGACAACCAAATGATCAAGTATAAAGGATCAAGGTAATTTATTTTATCATTATACAACACAAGGTTGCACAATAAACTTAATGTTGTAGTCCATTCATGCTACACACACATAGAACATAACAAATCACTCAATTTAGATTTGAATTGGATGATGTATAAAATAAAAAACAGAAACATTTATCCAGTTATTTATATACATATGTACACGTATGCACCCAGGATATAATTCTGCAGCACATTTTTTAAATTTGCAATTTATGATCTGGGGGAATGTAAACAGCAGCAATAAGATGTGATAATAACATGGTTTCATCTTCCCATGAAAAGAAACCGTGTCCAACCACTTGGACTGAGTTTGAGCACCAAGTATCATCGATGTAACATCAATGTATATGCTAACGCTCTTAGTGCCACAATAGCTAGTTAATAGTTACATTTCAGGGATCACAAAAGTGTGTTTTATCTTTTTGTGTATACAGTAACCTACCTGCATGTCTCTAGACAGTGTAACATTGCTCATATCGATGGGTCTGGGGCTGAAAGCTGGCGCTCCTTCAAAAGACAGCTGTGAAATACAGGATATATTTTATATCGCTTTCTATATGAATACGGTGTGGAACTTGGAACTGGAATTTGTACGCATGTCTGTGTGTTGGTGTGAATGGGCAGTGGTGGAAATGGGTACATTTTACTGGGGGAACTACACTTGGGTAGAGTGGGTGACATCCTTGTACATCCTCTTGTTGTGTGTCGCATGTTTGTGATGTGTGCCTTGTAACGTTGCTGAACTGAATAGCGCGTAAACAAATGTGGGATTAGCAGAGAAAGTTGCTAAAAGCAGAGAGTTTGAGTGCATGAGCAGAAGTTGAGTAAGTTTAAATGTATAATGGGTGTAATTAGCTGTTGTAAAATTAACTCGTCGAGGTACAACAGCAAAAGTATGCTACCAGTAAGTTAAGCATCATCAATCGTAAATGATACATCCAGATTAAAAAAAAGACCAAAAGACATGACCCTTTCTGACATGCATTCAGTAGCTTTATTTCAGCTACTTCAACAAGTGTAGTAGATTTAAACATGGTCACTGAAATTCTGACTATACCATCATCCTGCTCACTTAGAAATATTTACTTGTAATCTCCAATATTATATGAAAATGTTATGATCAGAGTGACCAATCACATAATGAGTAATAGTTATTCATTGATTCTATATGTCTCAAGCTTCAAACTTTTCAAATTTTTTAGAACTTCTACTGGCAAGAGGGACATGCAGAGGTTCTATTCTGAGCTGAGGGTGACTCGATGCTGTGTAATATCTGAATGTGAGAGCAAAAAATGCTGTCTAAACAAATGACTGCATAAAAATGGTACCTTTAGTGAATCAATGAGGAAATAAAACAACAATGTTATTCATCCTGAGTTTCCTTACTCTCAGAGTTTTCACTAAATCCACTTTCTGGACTACACCAGTTCCCGTTTCCAACAAAGTTGCGTAACTTGAAGGCCGACTTTGCAGCTGGATTTGTGGCACTTTCATGAACAAGCTTTAGAAACAGTGTAAACAAAGCTATAAGTGATTTTCCCCTATAAAAAACATTGAATAGATTTTTGAAATCCAAGTAACTTGTACTCCTGGAACGGTGTTCCCGCGAGTTTCACCCATTTCCACCACTGTGCATGTGTCAGTGCATTTGTCTATACCTGGCTGGCCTGTGAGATCCTCCTGGACTTGTTGTGGAGGCTGGCAGGGTCTCCCTCTCTGATCCTATCAATGCTCCAGCCCCAAGAAAGCATGGTCTTCAGAGACTCCCTGACTGGCCAGGAATATGCTTCCTTATCCTGCAAGGTTACAACAAAACTTTAAAACAATAACTGACAGCAAGTCAGTACCTCAAATCACCCACAAAACTGTAAAGACTGCAAGATTCTTCTATTTTCAAAAGATACATTTCTAGGACATTTTTACAATCACCTGTCAATTAGTGAAATAGTGTGGAACTATGGTCAGAATGTTCCACTGGTATCCTTGTGTACATGAAACAAACAAAATGGTTCATAGAAAAACTGCTCCATAGTGCTACTTGAGGTCAAAAACTCCACAAGTTACCTTTAAAGAGGTTGTAGCATGATCATTCTTTAGGTTCATACTTGAAATTGGGTCTTTAAATAAATTGAAATATTTCAGTGTTCTCAAAACAGACTATTTTTCTCATAGTGGCCACTGCCATTACCTCTGTTCACCCTCGTCTGACACACCCCGTTTTCTTTAAGGCAACCCTTAAGGGAAGCCCAGTCTTCTTTGAATGAGCAGCTCCTATAAGGCTGAGCAGGCGGGACTGGATTGTCACCTATATGTGGTTCCTGTTACAATGTGATGTAATACTGTAACGGAAGTGATGGCTGAATACTCCAGTCTTCTGCACAGTTTTCTTTTCTTATCTTTCTTATCTTTATTTATTTATATTTTGAAAGTAGTTTATTTTTCTGTGTGATTTTTGTTTGATTTGTATATTTGTATATTTTATGCACCAATGCACCAGGACACATTCCTCATATGTGTAAAAACCTACTTGGCAATAAACATAATTCTGATTCTGATTCAGATTCTGATACAAATGAGGTCTGTCAGGGAGTCAGGAGCAGAGTTTTCTGTGGGAGACAGTAACCCCCTTTAGCTTGGACTTTGGGTTTTGTCACTTTTCAAACATTTTAAATCAATATTACATAGTAAAACACAGAGAAAATCCCAAAATAATATGGCCTGTTAAAGTGAAACAATCACCTGCTTGGGCCAACAGTGGCCTAAATCTGACTTTAAAATATTTTTTAATACTTAACTAAGCCATAGATAGTGCTCACTTTAGATGAGCTCGCGCAAAATACTTAATTAACGAGTAGTAAGTGCTTTGTAACTGTGAATTCCTGCATTAATAACTGTTTATAGGCCATCATTAGAAAATGAATTTGTTGTGAGTTTTTATAGAACATCTGCTAACACAGTCACTAATCATTAATACATGTCTGAATAGTGGATGTGCAAGTGCATGCAGAAATGTACAGTACAATGAAGAGTAAAACATTTATAACTGTGATTATAAACCACATTGTAATGAATGATTTACAGCAGAAACATGCTTTATAATTGATGAATTCAGTATTTACTAATCCATAATTAATGTGCTTATCAATTATGAATAAAACATTTTTAACTGTGTTTATAAACTACATACTAATGTGTATTCATGCGTTATAAATGATGAATTCAGTATTTATTCATGCTTAACTAATGCTTTATAGTGTGTACTCATTATAAAGTGTTACCGGGGTGGGTTAATTTTTCATTACACATATAGGCCCAAAATACAAATACAAATCTACTTAATGGAAAAACTGACACATAGTTTGAGACTGCAAGAAGCACACATCAAAGAAGTGAGCGAACTTTTCATTATTCAGGACCCAAAACATCAATTAAGACTCTGGAAAGAAAAAATGATTTTGTTGATGAAACCGTGAGAATGGATGCATTACAAAAAAAAACCTCCCCTTTTTTACTGTTGTTGTTGTTGTATTATTTTGTATATGAGTTATCCCGTTTACATGTTGTTGTGTTAGTTTTATATGTTTATAATATGGTCAATGAAACTTCAGTGGAAAAAAAGAAAAACAAACAAGTTATTTTTGCAAAACAATGACAACATGAAGCCATCCTCAGCTGCATGAAGACTACCTTCTCAGAGAGTCCCTTGTATGGTTTCAATAAAGGGTGGCTTTTGGAGATTTGACACATCTGTTCCCCAAATGACCAGCCATTGGAAAACTGTCAAACATATGAAAAAAAAAAAAAAATTCAAAATGAATACATTTTCTTGCATAATATTAATACTGAAACACGATACTGCAGTATTATGTTTAACTTCTCGCCTCCTTACCTTTTCTATACACCACTTCTCATGGTTATGCTCTGCATATCTGACTATGAAATAGTCCAGTTTCTCTGGGACAGTCACACTGATAAGACAGAAGAAAATGGAAAAGGTAATGGGACTGCACTTATACAGCGCCTTGCTAATCTTCTGACAACTCCAAGTGCTTTACACTTCATGCCACAATCACACACATTCATTCATACACTGATGGCAAAGCCCATAACAGAAGCTAATTAATTTACACACATTCATACACCGAGCATGGGGTTCAGTATCTTGCTTAAGGATACTTAAGCAGCAGGAGCCAGGGATCAAACCGCCAACCTCCTGATTACTACCTCCTGAGCCACAGCCACAGCACAAAAGTAAAAAAAAAATAATAATCAAATATGTGAGGTCAAATCAAATCAAATCAAGCCAAGCAAACAACCGTAAAATCTAAAAATCTAAAATAGGATCTGCATAAAAAATAACTTGACTTGTTGACTAAATATGTTGTTTACATGGCAGTGTCTGCAGGCTGTGGAGTGAAGTTGTCAATGTTAACAGAAATTAACAGTGACAAAATAAATATGTTATTTACTTGGCAGTGTCTGCAGGCTGTGGAGTGAAGTTTCCCTCTGAGTCCATGGACGACTGTTTCTCCATCATGGCCATGTAGTTGGACTCCATGTAGTCTGGAGGAAGAGCTCCAGCCACAGCACTAAGACATGGTAATGCCAGCTTGAACAGCTCCTGGTCATACCGCTACATCATAAAAACACAGACAGAGCACGCCGCTTCACACAGCACTACGCAGCACTGTTATGTTTCCCCTGCAGGTTTAAAGGTTGTGAAAGCAATTCTAGGTAACTCGATTCTAATCCAATGCACTACTGTTCAATTTCAGTGAGAATCTCCTCACAGTCCTTCAGCTTTCCATTCTGTGTGTCTGTTGAAAATGAATACAAAAACTAAGCCAAAATATCCTGGATACGGCTGCCGCCATCATTTGGAGCCAGAGTCTGAGCAGTAGTGATCTGGCTTGGCGCTGAAGTATTGAGGTCCTACCCATACAGCTGATTCAATCACAAGCAGGACTCAGCCGCCAAACGTATCAGAAAAAACATACATCAGAGTAATAAGAACTACCTAAAATGACAGAAACCATCTTTGGAAAACATTTATTAACATGGAGAGGGCAGGGTTTATGACCTACACTGCAGTTAGCCACCAGAGGTAGGAAGGAGATGCTTTAGCTTCATTGCGGGGAGCTGTCATGTCATCCGTCGTTTATATGTCGATGGCCCTGGCTCTGTAACTGGGAAACGGACCAAGCCACACAACGCTAACTTGACAGGATTTTCGTGTCAAGTAACGACTTGCACACAGACATTAAGTTTATTATCTAGTTTGTCAAAATATGCGGATGTTGTGATATTAAACCATCTTGTCCTGTCTGCATTTTAGCTGCTGTAAACTGTAGTGACAGTTTGCAAACCAACAACATATTGTCATCATTGTTCGCATTATATCGTGGTATTTGTTATGGTTTTGGATGTCTGCAGAATCGAATTCCCAACAATTTCTTCGTATTTTTTATCCTGTTATATTATTCCTGTAAAACAATATCTTATGCGAACCTACAAAAGCGTGAAGAAAACAGTTTCAACCAATAATATCATCACATTCACCTATCAATCAATCTTTAACTTTTAGCAATACAGAGCTAATATTCATTTGTTAGCTAGATAGCAACAGCATGGCAGAGTGTTTCTGGGGGCTGTGTTTTACACTGATTACTGTACAAAAACAAAACTTCATTATTGATTTTGGTTAAATTGGATCACATTTTATGGAGAAAATATTTTCTGTTTTCCCTTCAAAGTCCTACAGCTCCTGCTGCTGTAACTGCAGCTGGACTCCACAGCCTCCCAGTGAACACGGCACTGACCAGGACTGAACACAGCCTCCGAGACAGACCGAGGGCAGTTTGATGACAGCTGTACCAAGGTGATTTAAAGTTTCCTGATAGATAAAAGAAGCTAACTGCCAGCTTTGCACATAGTTCAGTTTACTTTTCACTTTTTACTTATAAGGAGTACAACTCCTCATAAACAAACAACAAACAAAGCTCACCTTGTGAGACAAAGCATCAAAAATCCCCCAGAACAGTTTCCTGGACAGATGAAGCTCCTCATCTGATGCAGCTCCAAAGTTGCCCCAGCCTCCAGCCAGGCAGTAATATTTCCAACAACGCTCATAGTGATTGGTCAGCAGCTGGGAAAAACCAATAGGACATGCATCAAACCCTCTGCTGGCTTTAAAAAACATTTTCTTGTATAAAAAATATTTTTAAAAAAGTATATACGTATATACATATATACACTTTTTCCTCTCTCTCTCTCTCTCTCTCTCTCTCTCTCTCTCTCTCTCTATCTCTATATATATATATATGATCAATATATTTTTTGGTAAAACTGAAATCAGAGATGCTGATCCACAGCGAGTACACATGTAGATGATTGTGTTGTTGAAAACTAAATTCAAATGAATATATTTTCTGAATGTATTGTAGAAAGTAACTCGAATTATAGACAATCAAATAAACTTCTATTCAATATTACACACAATCACAATTTAATGGTGGAAGGAGAATATTGCCTGGCTCTTGTTGTCTGAGCTGAGGTAACACCACAGTAAAAGACTAAAATGTATATTCTTATTACTATAGGTGCTAAAGAAGTTCCTTAAGATTCATTTGAGAACCACTTTTGAATTGATTGAAGATATAACTGATGTGTTTCTCACCTTCAGGGGCATCTTAGTGTGTTCATTAAGCAGAGGAACGTCAAAAACCAGCCTCCTCAGCAGATGCTGCATCATAGAAGGCCTCAGCTTACTGTATGATTAAGATCGCATACATTAGTTGGCTATTTCCACAGCCAGACAGAAGCAGTATAAAAAACATAGTAGACAGGTCAGGGGTATAATTTATAAAGCAGTTTGTAGTGTGTAATACTGCAGGCAACAATCCCTTTATAAATCACGTCAACCTGGAAACGTGGACACATGGATCAGCCTCATACCCAGCCTTCTACACAGTTTACCAATAAATGGTCAATGCAAAGCACCTAATGAATACTGATGCATATACACCGCCATAAGATTATGACCACTGACAGGTGAAATGAATCAAAATGGCACCTGTCAGTGTGCGGGATATATTAGGTAGCAAGTGAACATTTTGTTCTCAAACTTGACCAGGAAAAATGGGCAAGGGTAAGGATTTGAGTGACTTTGACCAGGTCTAAACTGTGAAGGGTAGACGATTTGGATCTCTGCAGATACACATACAGATACTGCCACACACTTCTGAGAGATAAGGTATGATGACTGAGAGGGGTTATGATTGTATGAGTGATATGACTTTTTTTAGGAAAATCCTATTCAGTATGCACCAAAAATCCAGTTATATGTCTTATATATTATATTATATTGAATTCCAGAATGGCGCAGGCGACAATGGCAGCCTGTTATGGCAGCTCCTATCATTGTTGTAGTTTTAGTGTGTTTTCAGTGTTTTTAGGCTGTGTTTTTTTCTGTTTTTAACTGTTTTCTTACTTTCTTACTACTTTGTTCACGTCGCCTAAATACTTTTTCGGCGTTTTTGAGTACTTTTAATTTTTTGTTTACGCTGGTCTCCATGGCGACAGGGAGTCGCATTGTTTACACCCGCGACCAGATGATCGCCTTGAGGTACCCTAGCATCCTGACTGGAGAGAGACCCTCCATACCGGAGGAGCTGAGGAGTAAAGGCGAGGCTGCAGAGCGGGAGTTAAACGGAGGATGATGAAGAGGAGGTTTAAACTCTACATCCCTGCAATCATCGAGCAGATACCGGACTCCAACGTCACCCCCTGCTCTCCTCATCCCTGCTGGCGCGGGGTGAATCACCGCAACTTGCGGCCTCTGTGTCGGGCTCCCCGGACAGCCAACGCCGCGGCCCCGCCAGGATTGGCCTGGTAAATGCTAGATCACTAGCGAACAAGACTTTTGTCTTAAAGGATTTCTTCACGTCCCGAGGATTGGATTTCCTCTGTGTGACTGAGACATGGCTGAGTGTTGGTGAATCCAGCGCTTTCACTGAACTTTTACCCCATGATTGCTGCTACTTTAACGCCCCGCGGACGTCGGGCCAAGGAGGAGGAATAGGGACTGTCTATAAGAGTCATTATAAATGTAAGCAGCTATTGCTGTCAATCCTCTTCCACCAGCTTTTAACTGAGCTTATTTTAGCTTGGTCGCTCTCACACAGTGTTGTGTGCTGTGGTCTATCGGCCTCCCAAGTACAATAAGGACTTTTTAAATGACTTTTCTGATTTCCTGGCTGAAATCATGCCTAAATATGACCGTGTTCTTATTGTTGGGGATTTTAATGTTCATGTGTGTTGTCCTGCTAAGCCAATGGCAAAGGGTTTTTTATACCTCATTGATTCTTTTAATCTTGTGCAATCTGTGTCTGGACCCACACAAGAACACGGACACACACTTGATCTTGTCTTATCATATGTTTTGCCCGTTTTTAACCTAGAGATATGTGACGCAGTGTTTTCTGACCATATGCCTGTATTATTTGAGGCTGCTCTTGCCTGTCATACAGTTAAACCTCGCGCTGCTGCTCGGCGCTGTCGCATTATTAACCCTTCCACTGCTGTTCAGTTCTCAGTTGCTTTTAGTCAGAACTCCATCTTTCCTGAGTCTGTGTGCAATACAGAAGAGCTGAGCTCATGGTTTCACTCCACCTGCCAAACTGTTTTAGACACTGTGGCTCCATTAAAATCCAGGCAGCCTAAAACTAAATCTGAGCCCTGGCTAAATGACACGACTCATGCGGTCAGATGTGAGTGCTGTAGAGCTGACCGCAAGTGGAAGGACAAACTGCAGGTGTCCTTTCAAATGTTAAGGGACTGCTGGCGTCATTATCAGAAAACTGTGAAAAATGCTAAAAGAAAACATTTCTCGGATATTATCCTGTCAAACTATCACAGGCCTTGTGTCTTGTTTAACACTATTGACTCACTTCTGAATGCCCCGCAGACTGCCTGTATGGAGGCGTCCCCTGCTGTGTGTGAAAACTTCCTTCACTTTTTTATTGATAAGGTCACTTCAACTAGGGCTCAAATCTCACCTTCAGCTTATGACCCCTCAATCTCTGTCCCCTGCTCTGCTGTCTTTGACCATTTTGAGCCTGTGACCTTTTCCTTTTTACAGGAGGTTGTTGGTCATTCGAAGCCCTCAGGTTCTCCAAATGATGCTGTCCCCCCTTGACTATTTAAGGAGGTTTTCCCCACTGTAGGACCATCTGTTATTGCAGTCATAAATAGTAGTCTGACCTCAGGTGTGGTCGCTGAAAATTTTAAACATGCAGTAGTACAACCTCTGATTAAAAAACCTGCTCTAGATCCTGCAGTTCTTGCTAATTTCAGGCCTATCTCCAAACTGCCTTCCCTTTCAAAAATCCTGGAGAAGATTGTGCACAGTCAATTAATGGCCTTTCTGGAAGAACATAATATCCTAGAGGTTTTCCAATCCGGTTTTAAAACCCTGCACAGCACCGAATCAGCTCTCTTAAGAGTTTTTAATGATATCTTTTTAGCTACTGACTCTGGTGACTGTGTTATCCTTGTGCTTTTAGATTTAACTGCTGCATTTGACACAGTGGATCATGAAATATTCACGATCTCACGTTTGAAGCAGTGGGTGGGCATCAGGGGCATAGCACTGGAGTGGTTCAGGTCGTACTTGGCTGATCGAACTTTCTGTGTCAGCCTAGGTGACTCTGTATCCTTCTCTGCTTCTCTCTCGTGTGGGGTCCCACAGGGCTCAGTTCTTGGCCCTCTCCTTTTCTCTCTCTATTTGCTCCCACTTGGTTCCATACTTAGGAAGCACAGCTTTTCATTCCACTGTTATGCAGACGACAGTCAGATTTATGTGCCTCTTAAAAAGAAAAATGAATACTCTGTCATGCTGCTACTTAAGTGCCTCGATGACATAAAGGCCTGGATGGCTCTGAGCTTTTTAAATTTCAATGATAAAAAGACGGAAGTGATGGTTTTTGGTGGTACCACTGGGACCCCCCCCTGTAGATCTGGGTTCCTTGGCCCAGTATATTAAATCTAGCATCACAAACCTAGGGTTAAAGTGGACCCTGAGCTTAAGTTTGAAAGTCAGATCAAGGCTGTTGTTAAATCAAGCTTTTTCCATTTGAGGCAGCTGGCCAAAATAAAGCCAGTTCTATCAAGGCAGCACTTTGAGACTGTAATCCACGCCTTTGTTACCACTCGGCTGGATTACTGTAATGCACTGTATGTGGGGGTTAGTGGGTCCTCCATCGCCCGTCTCCAGATGGTACAGAATGCTGCTGCACGTCTTTTAACTGGCACACGTAAACATGAACACATTTCCCCCATTTTAGCCTCACTCCACTGGCTGCCTTTTCAATTTAGGATCCATTTTAAAATTCTTTTATTTGCTTTTAAATCCCTGAATGGTCTTGCCCCGCCCTACCTCTCTGAGCTTCTACAGCCCTATATACCCGCCCGCCCACTCAGGTCAGATGATCAGCTGCTCCTGAGTGGGCCTAAAACTAAGCGGAAGCTCACCGTGCCTTTGCTGTGTCTGCTCCTAAATTATGGAATGATCTGTCTCTGCACGTTAAACAGGCCTCTTTTCTGTCAGTTTTTAAAACCCATCTTAAAACCCATCTCTTCTCTGTGGCCTTTGACACCTAGTAAGATGTTGACTTTATTTACTTGATTTAATTTCTTATTAGGGACCGAGCCAGTGACAACTGGAAGGTCCCTATTGTTTTTTCTATGTTTATTATCATTCTTTTTCTTCACCCTCTTTGTCTGCATTTTTGACCCCCTGAACATATACGAAATGTCTATTTTATTTGGCAGACTTGTCAAGTCTGGTTGAACTTAGATATTCTATGCGTCACATGCAGATCAGCCACTAGGTAGGCCACTAGGCGCTACTTTTAGGAAAAGTTTGATAGGCTAATAACTCCCGCATACTTTGTCTCACATTCAAAAACCTTATATCCACGCGTTCGGTGAATGGAGCTGAATCTCCCCATATAGGCCACGCCCACTTCCGCCTAGATGTTTTTTTCGCTAGAGTGCAAAATGTCCAAAAACTACGTTTTTGTGATCCATCCATGCGCTTTTGTCCGATTCGCACAAAATTTTGCACGTAGCATCTGGAGACCGTCCTGGCAAAAAAGGTAATTTAAAGTATTTTGATATTTCAAAAAATAAGGAAGTTATAAAATTAGCACTTCCTGTTGATTTTTCGTCAAAAAAGGAAGTGGGGTATTTCTCCACATTGGTATGTCCGATTTACATCAACCTTGGGTCAATAGTTCCTCATGTCTTCATTATGTATCGTGCACAATTTCAGGTCATCACCACAAGGTGGCCCTCTTTAAAATGAAGAAGTTTATATCTCTGCATCGGCAAGTGTGATTAAAATGAAACTTGGTACGATGCTTGCCCATGGCTCACTGAGGGTCCCCTAAAAAGGAGGTGGCGCTAGGTGGCGCTCTGGTGGCAGGGTAAATCACTCTGCAGAGACCGTAATAGTTATGAATATGAAATTCACAGGACACATGTAGTCTGGTGCCTGTAGCTAACATACCAAAAATCGTGTTTGTCGTGTTTGTAGCGCCCCCTACAGGATTTTAAAAAAGCAGCCCCGGCGCCACGTTTCACCGATATGTACGAAACTAGGTAGGCATGTTTAACGTGCCGAGACGTACAAAAAAGCCTCTTGGACCGAAGACTTCCGGCTTGATGCAGTTTCCTGTCTTTTCGCGGTGCTTCCCGGCACGCGATCGCCATCTAACGTAAGTCCAAGGAATTTTTATAGCTAATGAAAATGTCGAATATTGTGTTTATACAGTCTGTGGTCGAGGTGGGCGGAGGCCAATTTTTTTATTGAAATTGAAAAAGTTACAGACGCGGGAAAGGAGAACAAAGGAACAGAGCAAGCGCAGCATTGTTTTTTTAAGCTGTGAAGTATCACAGTACACATGAAGATTTAATGCAAAAATAAGGTTCAAATTAGCTATTCAGATGTATTTTCTTGTTTATAAGCTAAAATAAATAAAGTATTTTTTTATCATGATGTCATCATGTAATAATTGATATATTATTGGTGTGTGCGTGTGAGTAAGAGAGAGAGAGGGAGGGGTGTGAGAGATGTGTTGAAAGCCAGTATAGGCTTTTATGATAGAAAATATTGGTTATATAGATACACCTCCTTATGTATAAAAACAGTATTGTTGAAACTCAATTTTGCTCTTGTGTTTCTGTCTGAGAACAGAGACAACAGAGAGAGAGAAAGAGAGAGAAGAAGAGAGAGAGAAAGAGAAGACGAGTGAGTGAGAGAGAGAGAGAAGAGACAAGAGAGAAGAAGTGAGAAAGAGAAGACGAGTGAGAGAAAGAGAGAGAAAGAGAGAAGAGACAAGAGAGAAAGAGAAGACGAGTGAGAGAAAGAGGGAAGAGACAAGAGAGAGAAGAAGTGAGAGAGAGAGAAGAGATAAGAGAGAAAGAGAAGACGAGTGAGAGAAAGAGGGAAGAGACAAGGAGTGAGAAAGAGAAGACGAGTGAGAGAAAGAGAGAGAAGACAGGAGAGAGAAGAAGTGAGAGAGAGAGAAGAGACAAGAGACAAGAGAGAAAGAGAAGACAAGAGAGAGAAAGAGAGAAGAAGTGAGAGAAAGAGAAGAGACAAGAGAGAAAGAGAAGACAAGTGAGAGAAAGAGAGAAGAGACAAGAGAGAAAGAGAAGACAAGTGAGAGAAAGAGGGAAGAGACAAGAGAGAAGTGAGAAAGAGAAGACGAGTGAGAGAAAGAGAGAGAAGACAAGAGAGAGAAGAAGTGAGAGAGAGAGAAGAGACAAGAGAGAAAGAGAGAAGAAGAGAGAGAAGACAAGAGAGAGAAAGAGAGAAGAAGTGAGAGAAAGAGAAGACGAGTGAGAGAAAGAGAAGACGAGTGAGAGAAAGAGAGAAGAGACAAGAGAGAAAGAGAAGAAGAGTGAGAGAAAGAGAGAGAAGACAAGAGAGAGAGAGAAGAGACAAGAGAGAAAGAGAAGACGAGTGAGAGAAAGAGAGAAGAGACAAGAGACAAGAGAGAAAGAGAAGACGAGTGAGAGAAAGAGAGAAGAGACAAGAGACAAGAGAGAAAGAGAAGACGAGTGAGAGAAAGAGAGAAGAGACAAGAGACAAGAGAGAAAGAGAAGACGAGTAAGAGAAAGAGAGAAGAGAAGACGAGTGAGAGAAAGAGAGAAGAGACAAGAGACAAGAGAGAAAGAGAAGACGAGTGAGAGAAAGAGAGAAGAGACAAGAGAGAAGAAGTGAGAGAGAGAGGGGAAGTGAGAGAAAGAGAGAGAAGACAAGAGAGAGAGAATACGAGAGAGAGAGACATAAGGTAGGCAAGGGGTGTGGGTGTGTGAGAGAGAGATTTGCTTTTATTCCTTTACAGGTGCATCAAGATGGTTAAAAACAATGCTTTGGTTTAAGGTAAGTATATTTGTGAGTAAGCATGTGATAAATACATTTGTGCTTGTTGATGCAACATGAAATGAAATACCTATAAAAATGTTACTGTAATTTCTGAAATAATATGCCTCTTTTAGATGCCTAACATCAGACAGCTGCCCCAGAGGGAGAGGAAGACAAGGAAGTGGACCCCGGAGGCCATGGGAGAGGCCATCCATGGAATGGCGCCGGCGACAACGGCAGCCTGTCATGGCAGCTCCTTTCATTGTTGTAGTTTTAGTGTGTTTTCAGTGTGTTTTTGCTATTTTGAACTCTTTTCTTACTTTCTTACTTTCTTACTACTTTGTTCACGTCGCCTAAATACTTTTTTGGCGTTTTTGAGCACTTTTTATTTTTTGTTTACGCTGGTCTCCATGGCAACGGGGAGTCGCATTGTTTTCACCCGCGATCAGATGATCGCCCTGAGGCCCCCTAGCATCCTGACTGGAGAGAGACCCTCCATACCGGAGGAGCTGAGGAGGAGACGGTGAGGCTGCAGAGCGGGGGTTAAACGGAGGATGAAGAAGAGGAGCTTTAAACTCTACATCCCTGCAATCATCGAGCAGATACCGGACTCCATTGTCACCATTCCCGGCTTCCAGACGGTTCGAGCCGTCAGGGACACCACTGCGACCGGCATGAAGAAAGGAGGGGGACTGTCCGTGCTCATAAACAACAGGTGGTGTAACGCCGGGCACGTCTGTGTGAAAGAGCGTCTGCAGCCCGGACATCGAGCTCGTCGCCATCGGACTTCGTCCGTGTTGTCTGCCACGGGAACTTTCCAGTGTTATCACCATCACTGTCTATATTCCTCACAGTGGTCTTCATCATCACCATCACTGTTTACATTTATGATGTCCTATTTATTCTCCTGTACAGCACTTTGGTCAACTTTGGTTGTTTTTAAAGTGCTTAACAAATAAAGTTGGATTGGATTGGATCCAGGAGGTGAAAGCAGGCAGGCTGGGGTAGGCAGCCAAACAGTTTGGGGTCCCAAAAACGAGCCTGAGTGACCGAGTCAGTGGAAGGGTGGCCTCTGACTGTGTGCACGGTCAGAGGCCACTTCTCACCCCTGCAGATGAAGATTCCCTGGTGGAGTACTGCCTTTACTCTGCCAGTCATGGGTTTCCACTGACAAAGCCTCAGGTTCAGTCTTTTGCGACAGCAATTTATAATCAGCGCTGTCCAGAAGAGAGAAGGGGGAAGTTGGGCCGGACGTGGTGGCTCAACTTCCGCAGGAGGCAAGGCCAGCGCTTCACTTCTCGGACCCCAGACAATATTGACCGTGGGAGGGCATCCTGTGCCAAGAGGGGGCCGATTGAAGAATACTTCAGGCTCCTCACTACCACCATGGAGAAGCACGGGTTGAGGGAGAAACCCCGTCAAGTCTATAACTGCGATGAGACGGGGTTTCAGCTGGACTCGTCGAGACGAAAGGTCCTCGTGCCCCGGGGGACAAATGCTTACAGGCAGGCCCAGGGGACCAGGGACCACGTCACCGTCCTGGCCTGCCTCAACGCGGCTGGGGAGGATATCCCCCCTTTCATAATTTACAAGGGGGGATATCCCGGGGGGCCCTATAACAAGGAGGGGGTCCCCGACGCCCTCTACGGGAAGTCACCGGCAGGGTACATGGACAGTGAGCTGTTCAGGAAGTGGTTTGTCGGGCATTTCCTGAAGTTCGCCGCGCAGGAGCGCCCGCTGCTGCTTGTTTTTGATGGGCACAAATCCCACCTGGATCCAGAGCTGGTCCGGGTGGCACAGAGGGAGGAAGTCATTCTCCTATGCCTTCCACCACACACATCTCACATCCTGCAGCCTCTGGATATGAGTTTCTTTGGACCCTTGAAGGCAGATTTCTCTGGAATTACAGGAGATCTGTCGGTAATGAGCCACTCCTTCTTGGTTTCCAAGAAGGAGTTTTCAAGGGTCCTTAGGGACTCATATCAGAGGGTGAAGGATCGGGGAGTGGTGGTGGCTGGGTTCAGGAAGTGTGGCCTCTACCCTCTGGACCCGGAAGCCATTGATTGGTCACGGGTCATGCCATCCGGACCGCGGCGTGGGACCTCCTCGCCACCTCCGCCAACCCCATCAGCATCTTCCTGGGCCATGCCTGATGTTACCCCCCCATCCCAACACCCCCCCCCCCACACCAGAGTCCACCCCCTGACCCTAGTTCACCCCCTGTCCCTAGTCCACCCCCTGTCCCTTGTCCACCCCCTGTCCCTTGTCCACCCAATCCCTACTCTACCCATCCCCTGGTAACATCAGGCAGGATCTCAGTAGACCTGGCCCACCTCCTGCCCGAGGTGCGTTATAATACCACCAAGGTCAGGAGGAATACCACCAAGGCCAGGATACTGACGGCTCAGGAGATGTCTGATGCCATCGAGGAGGCGGAGGACCGTGCTGCAAGGCGGGAGGCCCAAGCTCTGGCCAGAGAGCAGCGGCGGGCCGAAAACAACGGCCCGACAGCCACTTCCTCTACCCTGCCTGGTGGCTCCCGTCCCAGCCGCAGAACAGCATCCCCCGGGGCTGCCTCGGCCTCCAGCTCCGGCCTTTCCATCGCCGGTCCCTCAACCCGCTCGGCCCCCTCTAGTGCAAGTAAAATATGATTTTTCTTTAAGAGCCATCAACATCTGCCTTCGGCCTCAGAGGGTCCAGATTGTCTTCCTCTCCCTCCCAATGTAAATGCTTTATATCATTGATAAAAACAAGCAATGTCCTAAGATGCTGGTGATATTAGGGATGATGATGAGTAAACAACACATGTCATCTTGTTTATACAGCCTGCAGACAGACAGCTGCGCCATTGTCTAGCTCCTCCCAGCCGTCTGCTGGACCCACGGCATCCACTGGTATTGTGTTTAACATTAACAGTCTTTGTGTGCCATCCCATGATATTCAAAACATGTTCTTTAATACATTTTTTTATGAGTAGGTCACACCAATATGGAAGATCTGTGTGGCCAGTGCAGGGAACCTGACCCTCCGGGCGCCTGCTCGGAGGGATTGGTGCCGTGGGTCCAGTGCAACAAATGCGCAAAATGGTTTCACACCATTTGTGTCGGCTGGGAGGAGCTGGACAAAGATGAATTTTGGTGTTTTTGGTGCCTGAATTTGTTCGATAAGTTTGTTATTTAATTTGTTTTTAATTTGATTATCTGTTGTCTATTTGTTTGTATATATGTGACGCGTTCCATCAAAATGAGTCGGATGTCGCAGCGGCCCGTTTGTGTAGAAACACGTTTTTACAAGAAAATACAATTTTGGTCTATTTACAGTTTTTACATGTTTCTAATTAAATAAAGTCTCAGCTTTCATACCATGTCAAAATTAATGTAAAATACAAAGGATAAATATAGCTAGCATAAATAAAACGAAACAGGTGTCAGAGTTCAAAACACCGGCTAGCGTGTTTGTGTCATCTACGTTATCTGTCAACTGTCAGTTTAGATAGACACGGAGAAAGATTGACAGATTGACAGCCTAGACAAAATTAATTTTCGCGACGACGAAATTGCTCGACTTTTAAATTCAATTCCTGTAAGACATGCTACGACAACTGGATCGACCTTATTACGGACTTTTTCACCGCACCGGCAGCTGAGAGTGAGAGTGACAGCGGCGGCTCGACCTCCGGTATTTTGTGCTACCGACACCGGCCGGCTCTGATCGTAATGGCGAAGAAAGTGAGTGTGACGGAGGCGAGGAGGAAGATATTCCACTCGTGGCTGACCCGATGGTAGCATACAATGTCTCTGATTATAATTATGTAAAGCAGTAAAGCAGTAAAGTTTATTTATTTGAATATAAACTGTCTTTCAATTCATTTGGAACATGGCGGAATGTTGATTGCTATCTTTAGAGCGCTTTTTCTCAAAAACAAGGTTTGGTGACAGTCAACCTTTGGAAGAGCGTGTCTCATACAATTTTTGGAGTAGAAAAATAATTTTGGTATCACCATAAAGCTGAGACTTTCCTCTTTACAGCCATGAAGAAAACTCAAAATGTGTTTCTGGGTCAAAGTGACTCAAAATGATGGAGCAGGTCACATATTGTAAATATTGTATATATTGTAAATATTGCTGTTTTTCAATTTAGTAAAATATTTTTCATGTCATATCATTTGTCTTTTGATTAAATAATATAATTGTATGCATGAACATTTATTTGTTATATTATGCTACATACTAACTCTGCACTGAGTCTATTACAGGTAATTGTTATATGAGCATACAGCATGTGTCTGTAATTGCTAAATTAAATGCATCAGCTTGTATTTTAAATGAGAAGTGTTTAACAAAATATCCAGTAGGTGGCGGTATAGCGGTATAACTGCATAAATTAGAGTTGTTACTTGTTAAAGCATTGTATCTTATTTTGAAGGAGGAAAGTACGATCCCAGATGAGTTGATGTTAGTTTGTCAGTCTCAGGAACAACTTAATACCCCCATAACACCAGCAGTGTTCAATGTTTACAGCGAGCGGACGCTGCCGTTCGACTCGGGACACCGGCAGGTCACGGCTAAATCACCGGTGTTAGCATCCTTTTACCGACTCTAGTAAAGACCGAGCAAAAGTAAATGTTTAAAACGATACACGGTTAGAAAGGTAAGAAGTTCGTCTTTACTTTAGCACCTTAAAATCAACCGAAACCATTACATGATCATTTTACTTAACTAGTTAAAGGGAATTCATATCGAATATTAGCATGAAAATCGTTCGGGTTAGGGTTCCGGTACGTTAACTCCTCCTACAGGTTTTATTGGAACTACTTCAAAATTGGTCAGTGCAGACAAAACATGGTGCTGAACCACGCCCGAGTTGCGTGGAGTGTGAGGTCCCGCCCAACGCTGCTTGCAGCTTTAATTAGGGACCGAGCCAGTATGAACTGGAAGGTCTCTATTGTTTTTGCTTCGTTTATTATTATTATTTTTCAGAACATTGACTGCATTTTTCACCCCCTAAACATATACGAAATGCCCATTTTATTTGGCAGACTTGTTGGGCCTGTTCAAAATGGGAGATTCTATGCGTCGCTTCCAGGTCAGCCACTAGGAAGGCCACTAGGGGGCGCTACTTTTAGGCAAATTTCGATAGGCTAATAACTCCTGCGAAGCCCACAGTTCACCACCAACCCATTCATGTTTCTAATACATTTTCCCCACTCAGCGACACACCCACTGAGGAACCAACTCTGATTATTGGCAGCTCCATAGTCAGAAACGTGAAGTTAGCGAAGCCAGCGGCCATAGTTAAATGCATCCCTGGGGCCAGAGCGGGCGACATTGAATCATATTTAAAACTGCTGGCTAAAGATAAACGCAAATACAGTAAGATTGTTATCCACGTCGGTGGTAATGACACCCGTTTACGCCAATCGGAGGTCACCCTGATTAATGTGGAGTCGGTGTGTAATTATGCTAAGACAATGTCGGACTCCGTAGTTTTCTCTGGACCCCTCCCCAATGTGACCAGTGATGACATGTATAGCCGCATGTTGTCATTCCACCGCCGGCTGTCGAGGTGGTGTCCAGAAAACGATGTGGGCTTCATTGATAACTGGCAGCCTTTTTGGGGAAAACCTGGTCTGATTAGGAGAGACGGCATCCATCCCACTTTGGATGGAGCGGCTCTCTTATCTAGAAATATGGCGAAGTTTATCTCTAAAATCTGACAGTCCAGAGTTGGGACCAGGAAGCAGAGCTGCTGTCTTACACACTTCTCTGCGCTTTCTTTGGAACAGTCACCCACCCAAAACCCCATAGGGACTGTGTCTGTCCCCCGACCACCTAAATTATTTAAAGAAATAAAAACAAGAGGAGTTCAACATAAAAATCTAATAAAAATTAAAACCAACTCCTCAGTAGCACTTAATAAGAGAATGAAATGTGGGCTGCTAAATATCAGGTCTCTGTCCTCTAAAGCTGTTTTAGTGAATTAATTAATATCAGATTATGATATTGATTTACTTTGTCTTACTGAGACCTGGTTGTCCCACGAGGAGTATGTTAGCCTAAATGAATCCACCCCCCCAGTCATATTAATACTCACATTCCTCGAGGCACAGGCCGAGGAGGTGGAGTGGCAGCCATATATGATTCGAGCGTTTTAATGGACCCTAAACCTAAACTAAATTATAATTCATTTGAAAGCCTTGTTCTTAGTCTTTCTCACCCAAACTGGAAAACATTGCAGCCAGTTCTATTTGTTATAGTGTACCGCGCTCCTGGACCGTACTCTGATTTTATATCTGAATTCTCAGAGTTTCTATCAAGTTGAGTCCTTAAATCAGATAAAGTAATTATTGTAGGTGATTTTAATATTCATGTGGATGTTGACAATGACAGCCTTAGTAATGCATTTATATCATTAATAGACTCAATTGGCTTCTGTCAGAGTGTAAATAAACCAACTAATTGTTTTAATCACACTCTTGACCTTGTTTTATCATATGGCATTGATATTGAACATTTAATAGTCTTCCCACATAATCCTTTCCTATCTGACCATTATTTAATAACTTTTGAATTCATACTATTAGATTATAAGCCATTAGGCAAAACTTCCTACAGCAGATGTCTATCTGACAGTGCTGTAGCTAAATTTAAGGAGGAGATTCCTTCAGTGTTTAATTCAATGCCATGTCTGAATTTAACAGAGTCCTATAACGACTTTAGTCCCTCTGAAATTGATAATCTTGTCGATAGTGCTACAGGCTCACTACGATCAACATTAGACTCTATCGCTCCTATAAAAAGGAAATTATTAAAACATAGGAGACTAGCACCTTGGTATAACCACCAAACCCGCCAGTTAAAACAAATAGCTAGGAAATCTGAAAGGAAATGGCGCTCTTCCAAATTATCAGAATATCGCTCAAATTGGCAAGATAATCTTAAAACCTATAGAAAGGCCCTCCGTAATGCCAGAGGAGCCTATTACTCAGCACTAATAGAAGAAAATAAGAATAACCCTAGGTTCCTCTTCAGCACTGTAGCCAGGCTGACAGAGAGTCACAGCTCTATTGAGCCACATATCCCCATAAACTTAAGTAGCAATGACTTCATGAGCTTCTTCTATAATAAAATTATTACTATTAGAGAAAAAATTAATCACCAACTGCCATCAACAGTTATCAGTGGCTCTCCAAGTTCAGGGACTTCTGTCAATGTAAACTTAGATATATATTTAGACTGTTTTTCTGCTATCGATCTTCATCAGTTAACTTCAATCATTTCTTCATCGAAGCCATCAACCTGTCTATTAGACCCGATCCCAACTAGGCTGCTTAAAGAAGTTGTTCCCTTAATTGGCACTTCTTTACTGGATATGATTAATCTTTCTTTATTATCAGGATATGTACCACAGTCCTTTAAAGTAGCTGTAATTAAACCCCTTCTTAAAAAATCCACTCTTGACCCAGGGGTTTTAGCCAACTATAGACCGATTTCTAACCTCCCCTTCCTCTCTAAGATTCTGGAGAAAGTATTCGCCAAAGAGTTGTGTGACTTTCTACATAACAATAGTTTATTTGAGGATTTTCAGTCAGGATTTAGAGTTCATCATAGCACAGAGACAGCTCTGGTTAAAGTTAATAATGACCTTCTGACTGCTTCTGACAATGGACTTGTCTCTGTACTTGTATTATTAAATCTTAGTGCTGCATTTGACACCATTGACCATAATATTCTTTTAGAGAGACTTGAGCATCAAACTGGCATTAAAGGAACCGCACTAAGCTGGTTTAAGTCATATTTATCAGATCGCTCGCAGTTTGTACATGTTAACGATGAATCTTCAATAAATACTACAGTTAGTCATGGAGTTCCACAAGGTTCTGTACTTGGACCAATACTATTTACTTTATATATGCTCCCTTTAGGCAACATTATTAGGAATCACTCCATTAACTTTCACTGTTATGCAGATGATACGCAGTTATATCTATCAATCAAGCCCAATGAAATTAATCAATTATCTAAATTACAAACATGTCGTAAGGACATAAAATCCTGGATGACCTGCAATTTTCTGATGTTAAACTCAGAAAAAAACGAAATTCTTGTTCTTGGCCCCAAAAACCTTAGAGACTCACTGTCTAAAGGCCTCTAACTTGGCCTCTAGCACCACTGTCAGGAATCTTGGAGTTATCTTTGATCAGGATTTGTCATTTAACTCCCACATAAAGCAGACCTCTAGGACTGCCTTCTTTCATTTACGTAATATTAGAAAAATTAGACACATACTATCACAGACAGATGAAGAAAAACTAATCCATGCATTTGTTACTTCAAGGCTGGATTACTGCAACTCTTTATTATCAGGTTGCCCCAATAAGTCCATTAAAACGCTCCAATTAATTCAGAACGCTGCAGCACGAGTACTGACAGGAACTAGAAAAAGAAATCACATCTCTCCTGTACTAGCTTCTCTGCATTGGCTCCCTGTAAAATGTAGAATAGAATTTAAATCCTCCTCCTCACCTATAAAGCTCTTCATGGTCAGGCCCCTTCATATCTTAAAGAGCTCATAGTACCCTATTACCCCTCTAGAACACTACGTTCTCTGAATGCTGGGCTACTTGTGGTTCCTATAGTCTCTAAAAGTAGAACAGGAGCCAGAGCCTTCAGTTACCAAGCTCCTCTCCTGTGGAACCAGCTTCCATTTGTGGTTCGGGAGGCAGACACCCTCACCACATTCAAGAGTAGGCTTAAGACATTCCTCTTTGATAAAGCTTATAGTTAGGGCTGGATCAGGTGAGTCCTGAACCATCCCTTAGTTATGCTGCTATAGGCCTAGACTATCGGGGGATTTCCCATGGTGCACTGAGCTCCTCCCTTCCTCTCTCTTTCTGCACTCATTCATGTCCCATTAATGCATGTTACTAACTTCACTTCTTCCCCGGAGTTCTTGTGCTTTCTCGTCTCGCAGGTTCTTGTCGATCCTGGTGGAGCCTCCTGCCATGGTCCTGCTAGATTGCCATTGCCAATACTGTTGTTGCTGTGCACCTGTCTGTCTGTCTCTCGCTTTCTCTCTCTCTGCCTCTTTCTCTCTCTCTCTCTCTCTCTCACCCCAACTGGTCGAGACAGACGACCACCCACCTAGAGCCGGAGGATCTGTCCTAGGTTTCTGCCTTTTAACAGGCAGTTTTTCCTTGCCCTTGTCGCCAAGTGCTTGCTCATGGTGGTACTGTTGGGTCTCTGTAATTAATGTTTTAAAGAGTTCGGTCTAGACCTGCTCTATTTGAAAAGTGTCCTGAGATAACTTCTGTTATGAATTGGCGCTATACAAATAAAATTGAATTGAATTGAATTGAATTGAATTGAATAGTTTGTCTCACATTCAAAAACCTTATATCCACGCGTTCGGTGAATGGAGCTGAATCTCCCCATATAGGCCACTGCCAAGAGTGAAAATTTTAAAATAAAATAGCCGACTTCCTGTGGGATATGGGTCCAAGAGGCTTTTTTGTACGTCTCGGCACATTACACGTGCCTACCGAGTTTCGTACATATCGGTGAAACGTGGCCGTCAAAGTTGGCCATTTTGAACGAATGTCACACTGTGATGTCATTTTTGGCATTTCAGGGCTTCTATTTGAACAAATTCCTCCTACAGGTTCTATTGGATCTGCTTCAAAATTGATCAGTCCAGTCAAAACATGGTGCTGAATGAACGCTGTTCATTTTGTGACTGTACGTTGAAGGGCGTGTCCGTGGCGTGCCCTCAAAGTTGGCCATTTTGAACAAATGTCACACTGTGATGACATTTTTGGCATTTCAGGGCTTCTATTTGAACGAATTCATCCTAGGAAATTTCTGGGATCTGCTTCAAAATTGGGCAGTACAGTCAAAAAATGGTGCTGAATGAACGCTGTTCATTTTTTCACTGTACGTTGAAGGGCGTGTTAGTGGCATGCTGTCAAAGTTGGCCATTTAGAACAAATGTCACACTGTGATGTCATTTTCGGCATTTCAGGGATTCTATTTTAACTAACTCCTCAAACAGGTTTTATTGGATCTACTTCAAAATTGGTCAGTGCAGTCAAAAAATGGTGCTGAATGAACGCTGTTCGTTTTTTGACTGTACGTTGAAGGGTGTGTCCGTGGCGTGCCGTCAAATTTGGCCATTTTGAAGTCCGTGGTCTTGTATTTGAACAAACAAACTCCTAGAAAATGTATCAGATCTGCTTCAAAACTTGACAGTACTCTTGAATAATGTTGCTGATTACAAGTTGTGCTATTTATGACTGTACGTTGAAGGGCGTGTCCCTGGTGTCTCGTCAAAGTTGGACATTTTGAATTCTGTGGTCAAGTGATAAAACACAAACACCCCTCCACTCCCGCTAGCCACATCTACAAACCATATTTCCTAGGGAGTATTGTTCGTGGAGCATAGTAGGAAACCGCTGGAAGTCAAGTATTAAATTGCAAGATAAATAGGGGACTTATCAAATCTACTTCAAAATTGGACAGTCTTATAAAAACAAACTGTAGATGAAGAGATGAGCTATTTGTGACTGTACATCAAACCACGTGCCACTGACAACTTGTCGAATTCAGCCGATTTTCCATTAAATAGTACTCATAACTTCAGTGTGCAATGTCCAATCTCCAATAAACTTCATATATTCTGTAACAGTCTCGCCCTGAACACGTCCTCATAACTTCAGCGTACATGATCCAATCTCAATGAAACTTCACGTGTTTGATAAGAGTCCTGCCCTGAACACGTCTACATGACAATATTCAGACATAGTGATAGCGCCACCTACTGGCAACAGGAAGCAACCGCTGCGCGGCCATTTTGAGCTGATTTACATGAGATTTTCATGTCGTGGTCCGCACGTGTTACGACGGCACGTGATGCGACCGCAGCACGCCCCAAGTTGCGCGCCAGGTGCGAGGTCCCGCCCATTGCTGCTTGCAGCTTTAATTTTGATTGCTTTTTATTGCATGGCTATTATTTACTCATGTTTTATGTCTTTTAATTTTATTGTTGTATTTTATATGTAATTTTGCGCCTCATGTGAGCTGTTATGTCTTTTATTTATGATGTCTTATTTATTCTCCTGTACAGCACTTTGGTCAACTTTGGTTGTTTTAAAGTGCTTAACAAATAAAGTTGGATTGGATTGGATTATATATGACCCTTAATTATGTGTACCATATTTGTCAACACAGTTCAGATACTAAATCAACACCACTTGAAAACAATTAACATAGTGAGATTCTGATGACTCTCCCACATAGGCTACATGTCTGTTTTGCAACTCTTAAATCCAGTCTTACCCACAAACAGCCAGCAGACACTCCTCTATGGCGTCCCTCTGGGCTTTGGTAAGGCAGCAGCCTTTGGACAGGCGGTAAACCGTGTGGAGCAGAGAGTCGATCAGTGAGGCGAAAGGCTCTGTCCCCGCAAACAGTGGAGCACATTTAGTCAGAAGAGGCAACACGGCTGTACACAGATACCGGTTGAGGGCAAGTGCCATGTCGGTGGCACTGAGAGCAACCTGACACAAATACAGAGGCAGAAGAAGAGGGGAAGAGTGTGACATCAGGTTTGGTCTTGGAAAAATACACATTCTAAGGGCAGCGGGATTAAAGAGGAGCAAGCGGTGTTTGTGGCCGAGAAAGTCCTGCTCCCAGAGAATGATTGTAGGTCTGCATACATTTGTTAAAAATTAAATTCTGATAGCGAAAAGTATCATTATGTGGGGGTTTGTGATGCTCAAAGTATCCACTGATTTACAGCCACATCTTTCACAATGTATAGAAAAAAGTTAAGTTAGGCCAGTGTGCCTCCCATGATTGACACCATTGCAGTAAGTCAGTGCTATTCCTGGGGGCTTATGTTCATCACTATTGCAACACCTTGCACTAGTCATTTGAATGACTGTTAATATAAGAATATTAATTAACGCAAGTTAAAGAAAAAATTATGTAGGAGAACAAAGAAGGAGCAGTTTCATACACACACACACACACACACACACACACACACACACACACACACACACAAACACACACACACACACACACACACATACTTACAGTGTCCAGAGAGGCAGCAGCTCTCAGGTCTGGTAAGAAGCCGACCTCCAGCAGGTGTAACAAAAAAGTTTGGTCTTCTATGCCGTAGACTCGGTCCAGGAACAGGACCATGGCTGCTTTATGGTCCGGACAGAAACCAGCTGACATGTCTGGCTCCACCACTAACCCATCTTTGCATGCACAGGCAAACACACAAGTCACCACCTTTCATTTATGTTTTCACAAATTCATCTTTGATTGTATACTGGACCTGTTTCAAATCAAGATTACTGTTTTATGTGTGTCAGTGGGGTGGGTGCTGGAGGGTTTACTTACCTTTAGCCAGATTGGGCATTGAGAATGGAATGCTGATGACTCCCACCAGGTCTTCAATAGGAATCAGAGACCTCAGAATGGCTCTGATACGGATCGCTTCACCTTTACCAGCATGGATCAACTGATGTAAAATGGGTTAAATTAGTGTGAGTAATAATATGCATGTGTGTGTGAATATGTGTGTGTACAGTGTGTTCACTCACGTGCATCTCTGGAGCACAGCGGCCCAGCAGGTCAATGAGAGCAGCATAGAAAGTCATGATGGCATTCCCCATGTGGATGGTATCATCTTCCTCTTCCTTCAGCATGCCACTGCTATACACACACACACACACACATAATAACATGTCACTGAAGTGACTAGATGGCTCAAGTATCTCTCCTCTCAAAAACATTCTAATTTTAAATTTCATTTTTGTGTGGGTATTTTTATGTTTTATGTACATGAGGTAGGTGGATCTGACTTCCAGTAGAACAACTATATATACAGAGGCAGAACCCCCGCAAAGCAGCCGGACCAGATTCTGTCTCTCCATCCACCCTGAAGCACTGTGCTGACCAGCTGTCTCCGGTGTTCACGGACATCTTCAACACCTCATTGGAGACATGTCATGTGCCAGCCTGCTTCAAGTGATCCACCATCACCTCTGTCCCCAAAAAAGCAAGGACCACAGGACTAAATGACTACAGACCTGTTGCCCTCACCTCTGTGGTCATGAAGTCTTTTGAGCGCCTTGTGCTTTCCCACCGGAAACCCATAACGGACCCACTCCTGGACGCCCTGCAGTTCGCCTACAGAGCCAACAGGTCTGTAGATGATGCAGTTAACATGGCCCTGCACTTCACCCTCCAGCATCTGGACTCCCCAGGAACCTACGCCAGGATCCTGTTTGTGGACTTCAGCTCTGCGTTTAACATCATCATCCCAGCTCTGCTACAGGACAAGCTCTCCCAGCTCACTGTGCCTGACTCGACCTGCAGGTGGATCACAGACTTCCTGTCTGACAGGAAACAGCACGTGAAGCTGGGGAAAAATGTCTCTGACTCCCACACCATCAGCACCTGTTCCCCCCAAGGCTGCGTTCTTTCTCCTCTACTCTTCTCCCTGTACACCAACAGCTGCACCTCCAGTCACCCGTCCGTCAGGCTACTGAAGTTCGCGGATGACACCTCCCTCATTGGGCTCATCTCTGGTGGAGATGAGTCCGCCTACAGATGGGAGATTGACCATCTGGTGACCTGGTGCAGCCAGAACAACCTGGAGCGCTCAGTGGATATGGTTTGTGGACTTTAGAAAGAACCCAGCCCCACCCACCCCCATCATCCTGTGTGATTCCCCAGTTGACTCTGTGGAGTCCTTCCGCTTCGTGGGTACCATCATCACCCAGGACCTCAAGTGGGAGCTGAACATCAGCTCCCTCACCAAGAAAGCCCAGCAGAGGATGTACTTCCTGCGGCAGCTGGGGAAGTTCAACCTGCCAAAGACGATGATGGTGCACTTCTACACCGCCATCATCGAGTCCATCCTCACCTCATCCATCACCATTTGGTATGCTGCTGCCACTGCCAAGGACAAGGGCAGACTGCAGCGTATCATTCGTTCCGCTGAGAAGGTGATTGGCTGCAACCTGCCATCCCTCCAGGACCTGTACGTCTCTAGGACCCTGAGGCGTGCAGGCAAGATTGTGGCTGACCCCTCCCACCCTGGCCACAAACTCTTTGAACCACTCCCCTCTGGCAGGAGGCTACGGTCCATCAGGACCAAAACCTCTCGCCACAAAAACAGTTTCTTCCTGTCTCCAGCTGGCCTTAATAACAAGGACCGGACCCCCCACTGTCACTGACTCTTATAACCACCCTGTATTTATGCATTACATTAATGCACTCCCGTCTTCTGTACAGTTTTCCTATCTTTTCTTGTCTTTCTAATCTTTATTTATCTATATTTAAAAAAAAAAAATAGTTTGTTTTTTTTACTTTATTCTTGTGTGATTTTTGTGTTACTTGTATATTTTTGTGTGATTTATATATCTATCTATTTTTTTTTGTGTGATTGTATATTCTAAGCACCATTGCACAAATTCCTAGTATGTGTAAAAACCTACCTGGCAATAAATCTCCGATTCTGATTCTGATAAAAAAGACGTGTAGGGGAAGGCTTGTGAAAGCAGCTCCAGGTGAGTTGATTATCTCAGCTGGTACTCATGGAGTAATCGCACTCACCTCTTTTAAGGCAGTAGTGTGCTGGATCTCGAGGCTGACACACATGACAGAGGAGACACAACCGGAACAGACCTTAATGGACTTTTGGAAGCAGACTAAGTTGTGTGTTAATTGTGTGTGCGGCTGAGAAAAGAATAAAGCTGTCATCTTCACTAATCCCTGTTTTGGTCTGTGTGCTGGGAGAACCCTCTGTAGTAGCGAGTCTTGCTACAAACTGTAAATACTGTCTGTTTTTCCATAAAATCTCAATATCTAATACAGATGTCAGCAACCTTTACTATAAAGGAGCCATTTATGGCCAAAAATTCTAAATAAAAATCAGTTGGCCTCTGCATAACATATTTAAGACTGGCCTCAGATCAAATATACCTGTAAGCCAGCAGCGTTAGTGGCGCAAGCAAACAAATCTGTCCGCAATATTAAATTCTTTATTTTCTAAGACTTTTCTGGTTTTGGATTTGAAATCCATAGATAGCCTGGCTAGGGAGACTCAAGAATAGCAGCCACCACTATCGAGGTTTGGTAAAAATGTAGAGGAAAAGTTGCCAAGTCAGGATGCAACATATGACACACATTTTAGTTGATGAAATGTTAAAACATGGTGTGTAATGGCAACACATTTTTACAATTGGAGAATGTAAGAATCACTTTAGGCGGCTGTGGCTCAGAGGCATAGCAGATCGTCCACTAATCGGAAGGTTGTTGTTTCGATCCCCGGCTCCTCCCGCCACATGTTGAAGTATCCTTGAGCAAGATACTGAACACAGAACTGCTCCTGATGCTGTGCATCGGTGTGTGAATGTGTATGAATGAGTTAGTTTCTGTTTGATGGGCTTTGCCATCACTGAGTGAATGTCTGTGAAAGAGCGAATGTGGCACCTAGTGTAAAAGCACTTCGAATGGTCGGAAGACTAGAAAGGTGCTATACAAGTCCAGGTCCATTTACCATTTACCAACAGTGATAAATGAAAATGTTAAAATAACCATTATTCATTCTCAAATAATTTTTTGTCAAAGCCAGAGCCACTGGAGAGGGGCTTAGAGCCAGATGTGACTACAGAGCCACCGTTTTCCTAGTCCTTATCTAAAGGTATAAGAGAAAATGAATGCAATGTGACAAAGATGTCTTACAGTGTCTTGCTGCTCTCAGACGTAGGAGAGGGACCATCTCTGGAGAGATCCTGAGAGATCTTAATGGCTTCCTCCATTGCTGCCAACAACCCATCACCACCCTCACCCCGAAGAGCAGGGCCAAAACATTCCGGTCGGCGAATCAGGAGCCGCACCACAACATTGGCATTCTCTTCCACACTTTCACCTGACCACAGAAGAGTAGAAGTGTTCATGACAACATAATGTCCAAAACATTTAGAGTTACATTGCTATTTAAAAATAACTTAAAATAATTATAATATTATATTATAATAATTTGTCCAGCAATAAAGTCGACTGTGAGAAAAGGGATTTGTGAATTTAAACCATTACAATTTTCACAGAGTAAAGTGTGTACTACATTTGTCCTACAAGTCGTTACTACCTTTTACTGTTACCATCCGGAAAAAAAAGAGGAAAAGAAAAGAAATAATTTTTCTTTAATTCACCATTGCAGAAGACAGCAAAGCGCAGGAAGTCGAGATAGCGTTCACCCTCCACAGGGTTCCAGCCGATGTCAGGGTATCCTTTACGCACCAGCATCACACAGCTCTGCAGCCCACAGCCGGCCAGGTACTGCACCACCTGCAGAAACAAGGAAATTGTTTTAATACCACATATGTTTGCATACATAATTTGCTTAAAAAATTCAATTGAAAAAAATATATACCATTCTTGAATGAATCCTCTGCAGCCTTAGTCCCCCTGACATATTTTAACATACATTTGTGTTTGTATGTGTGTGTTTGTCAAGCTCACCTTCTCCAGGTCTGGCTCTCTTAAAGCCAGGGCCAGTTCATTATTATCCATAACTGATGCTGCAGCCACATCCAGAGGAGTAGAGCCTCGCATGGAAGGAGATGCTAAGGAGAGGATATGAGTATAGCAAAGGAAAATATATAATTAATATAGATAGGGAGTCTGTTATCAATGAAACAACAGAGGTGTATCTGTTTCTGGATTCAGCACTATTCAAACAGCCAATGTAATTGTGAGTAATAAGGGATGAAGCTGTAAAACTAATTTCACAAAGTACCTAAAATCTCATCAGAAAACACACACAGCTTTGTCTTGTACACACATGCAGGGAGAAAACAACTCACAACATTTAAACAACACCAGTGAGCAGGAAGGAGTGAGATGAGGATCATAATTTTCAAACATACGGTGAATATGAATATTTCTTGAGTTCATCATATACTGTCTGCATTCTCCCTCTTGTATCCAGTACCTGCAGTGGCTTCATGGATGCTGCTGTAGCAAAGTCCTTAGTTTTTTCCTGCAGAACTGCATGACTAACAACAAGTTGTGGATTACAAGCACCCACTGTATAAGACTGCAGACCAATTTTTTCATTTGTATAATATTTATATTTTATAGAAATTATGCCGGTGGGGTATATTAGGCAGCAAGGATAATGTCATAGCTGATCAGTATATATTTGTATGTATTTCATATTTTATTGTGTATTTATCACTATCAGACGAAGAGAATGTAATTCTCGATGAATAAATATGCAATTTTTTGGAGAATGGGCACATCTAGTTTTAAGAAATACATTTAATCAGTTTGACAAAATAATCTTCACTCACCACTTACTAGAATTTATTTAGGAACTTTCAATTGCACCTCATGGTTTTCATCAGTGGATGAAGTTTGTTTAGTCATGTCATGGAGATGGCTCAGTTTTGGTACTTTGTGAACAATGTCACTTCCATACAGTGACGGTCCACAAAGTATGAAACTTTGGTACTTGGATCAAATTCTATACCTATGTCACATGAGAACAATTGAGCAAACTGCATCTTCATCTGCATGAAGACCATGGCTGTATCTTAATCACTTGCTATTCCCTAAATAGTTCACTGCTGACTGTAAGTCCAAATTCTTATTTACCCTATATAGTGCCCTCCAAAATTCCACAATATACTGAAGAAAGTATTATCCATGGCATGTATACTGCACCGCATTCTATAGATGACAAAAAATACATCCTTTTTGTAATGATGTGTGGGGTTGGTGGTCACACATACGCACACACTCACCAAGGCCAACACTGCTGTTCTCAAGCAGGTAGCTGAGATGGTCAAACATGGCTTTCTGGTTCTGACGGCTGATTCGACAGAAGTAGCAGAGGAATCTACAACAGTTGGCCACCATTTTAGGAAAGGTGATTTCCTACAAAACATACATCATGCACAGGGTTGTTACACAAAAATCATGCACCAATTGTCTTCTCATTATAAATGTTAGATTTTCTATAAAGTTTATTATTACTGTTATTTAAATGGATTTATCCCTGAGCCAGTGTCAGTACTTAGGCCTATTTTCTGACTCTGCAGATTGTGCATACTTCATACCTTGGAGTCTCCTCCACTGAGTACATTGACCATGACCTCCATGACAGTCTCGTGCATCCCCAGTGCTCTCATCAGGTTAGGATGTTGGTAGAACACCTTGTTGTTCATGATATCACTGAAGAGGAAGAGAAATGAGCTAAAAGCTTAATGACATTTTTCATAATTAGGGTTTACAGTAGAAGCACTGACTAAACAAGGTATGTACTGAAGCAGATCACATGGCATAGTTATAGTCTATTTGCCTGGCTCTAGAGCCTTATTGTAAACCTGGAAATGTTAAGTACACCAACGTTTTACTTTAGGAAATGTCGACAACAGGAGAAGAACATACAAGAACTGTATTAGTACAGTTGTGTATGCATTTCCTAGATAATTTGAGCAAACATCATAAAGGACAATAGTAACATCCTATGCTACTGAAGTTGTAAATATTGTTGCTGTGGTGACCATTGTGTGTGCTGGCTGATGTAGTTTGGTAAGTTTTTGTTTTTTGCTGTTTTGGAAAATTTTGCTATTTGCAGGTGGGAAGATACACAATTTAAACAGATTGATTATATATATTGAGGTTAATTTACATAAATAAGCATTATGGTTAATTGTTGCATTGCAGGGTGTGGTGTAATGTATATCACTGATAGTGATCTCACTGTAGTTGTTTTGTTGACTTTCCACTGTAGATAAATACCTGATAAGAATATAATTTCCAAGTGATCATGCTGAACTCATATACTGGACAATATCTTTAAGCCTGTTATGTTATTTGGAGTGATTGAGTGTTTACCAAGAACATATTTTTTACTGTGGTTTCAGATGTGTTCACCCCTTAGATCCCTCTCTGTGAGGTGCAGTCATTGTTTGTGATAGTTTTTAGAAAATTTGCAGTATCTGTCTATGTGTGTCTGCAAAGCAGCAGACTTGTGCTGACAGTTGGAGCATATCAATTACAATTCTTTAAAGCCTAATGATTTTATGGACCCTGTACTAGTACTATTGGGTACGCCTAATGTTACTACACATTTTTGGGAGACGCTGAGGATATAATCAGAGAAGCTACACTATCATATATATAATAATATAATAATATAAAATCTTTATTGTGGGCAATGACACAGGGGTAAAGTAAAGACATTCTAGTCAAAAAATTTCCACATGATAAAAGGGATGACATATTAAATGAAGTTTGGTCTCCCTCAGTTTTAGGTCCAGCTTTGCACACATTGTTAGAGGCCACTGGATCGTCCGCTGCAATAATTCCGGTGTATGAATTATCTGACGCTACTTGTAGTGAAACACAGAAAATGACATCGCCAGCAGGCCTTCCTAGGCTAGAAATACACATAACCATTAAAGTATGACCTGTGAATTGGTCCCAAAATTGGCACATAACCATCGCAACCACCAAGTTTAGGTAGAATTGTAAATACGGTGCATGAAAATTACAGCTTTGAGTTGGAATGAGGACATAACGAAGCATTGTGAGCCGGCGAAGCAGAGACAGAACATCATGACAACTTTAACGCCACTTGTGATGGTGCCACAGAAGTACAAGAAAAACAAAGTGACTTTCCTAGGACTACTTTTATTAACCTATTTTTATTTATTTATTTATTGTTTCACTCCATAATATATCTTTAAATGTCTTCATTTCTGCTCTCCTTTTTTCCCCACCTGCATGCCTGCTGTAGATGCATTGACACTGCTTTATTACTGCCACATGCTAAAACTACAGATGAATGATTTGTGGACTAGTGTTTTTTATCATCAAATAATTGACTGTAAAACACCTAGTACACATTATTCTCAGACATGATAAAAGACATAAAACCTGAATTAACAGAAGTGCTTGTCAGTAGCTTCCCTATTTGGTGCAAGTAGCATGAGAACAATGACAGGGCTGTGGAATAAATCAGTAAGATTAAAGTTAAGATAAAACGTTTCTCGAAGCTCATGAGTAGGAGACCCATGTTTTAGACGGTTGATACATGTAACGAGACTTTTCAAGGCTCTCTTATGAGGAGAAAAAAGGGTTCAAACAAAGAGCAAAGCTGACTGTTGCTTGGGCCTCTCATCCTCTTATTGTGTCAGTCGTCCTCCAAGGACACTGCTGCCAACAGGACAGTATTCTTACAATTCATCATTGATTCCCAGCAGTGGAGCTTTTTTGGTGTATTTTAGAGTTAACTTGTACTAGGTTAGTTTTGAAAGATGCCAGACCACTGGTTTCAGACACAACTTAAGAGCTCTTGAAAACATTCTTAGTTCTTTTCCACCTGAAATTAAGTTAATTTGGTTTCCGGTTAGCTCTTCCATTTTGTGTTCACACTGACTTATCACACCCTATCACAAAGTCATACAGAGTGACAGATAACCATTGACAGTATATACTGTATAAGATGGTTTGATTGTGTTGCTGCATCTTATTACAACACAGCACTCATACACTTCTTCACTCATGCACTCACTTACACCACTGATCCTACTGATTTCACATACTACTGTTAGTTTAGTTTAAGTATCGTTTCCTTAATAAATAATTTATTAATTGGCTTTGTTGTGTGCGTCTCCCTCCTTTTGTCATGGCCGTATGGCCCGGTTTGTGACAGATAGCTGTGGTGAATGTCATCCTGCATCATCAGGCAACATGTCAGTGTGGAAAAATCAATCATTCTGATTAGTGCCAGCAGGTCATGCTGCACTTTATTTTTTTGTATTTATTAGTGTTTTTATTTATCTTCTTTGGTGCCATAAAGAGCACACCAAGAAACAGCTTGTTTCTATGAGGATTATTAATCCAGAATAGATTCTAAATATGGTAAATGGTAAATGGACCTGTACTTGTATAGCACCTTTCTAAACTTCTGACCACTCAAAGCGCTTTTACACTACGTGCCACATTCACCCTTTCACACACATTCACTCAGTGATGGCAAAGTCCATCGAACAGAAACTAACATTCATACACATTCACACACCGATGCACGGCATCGGGAGCAATTTGGGGTTCAGTATCTTGCTCAAGGATACTTCGACATGTGGCACCAGGAGCCGGGGATCAAACCCACAACCTTCCGATTAAGGAACGACCCGCTCTGCCTCTGAGCCACAGCCGCCCGAATAAATATATTTATCACTTACCTTGTACAGTACACAGATTGCTCTCTTCCCTATCTGTCACAATCAGCAGATAGCTTCAAAAGTACTGTGGTTTAACTTTCATGCTTAAGCCATATTTTGATCAGCCATAACATTATGACCACTGACTGGTAAAGAGAATAACACTGATTATCTTGTTATGATGGCACCTGTCAGTGGGTGGGATTATTATTATTATTACTATTACAATCACATTTTGTCCTCAAGGTGTGTTGGAAGCAGGAAAAATGGGCAAGGGTTTGGTCAGAGCATCTCCAAAACTGCAGCTTTTGTAAGGGTGTTCCCGGTCTGCAGTAGTCAGTACCTATCAAAAGTGGTTCAAGGAAGGAGAATTGATGCACGTGGGTAGCGAGGCTGATCCTTGTGATCCAATCCAACAGACAAGCTACTGTCACTCAAATTGCCAAAAAAGTGAATGCTGGTTCGGATAGAAAGGTGTCAGTAGTTTTCTCTGGACCCCTGCCCAATGTGACCAGTGATGACATGTATAGCCGCATGTCGTCATTCCACCGCTGGCTGTCGAGGTGGTGTCCAGCAAACGATGTGGGCTTCATTGATAACTGGAAGCCTTTTTGGGGAAAACCTGGTCTGATTAGGAGAGACGGCATCCATCCCACTTTGGATGGAGCAGCTCTCTTATCTAGCAACATGGCAAAGTTTATTTCTAAAACCTGACCGTCCAGAGTTGGGACCAGGAAGCAGAGCTGCTGTCTTACACACTTCTCTGCGCTTTCTTTAGAACAGTCACCCACCCAAAACCCCATAGAGACTGTGTCTGTCCCCCGACCACCTAAATTATTTAAAGAAATAAAAACAAGAGGAGTTCAACATAAAAATCTAATAAAAATTAAAACTAACTCCTCAGTAGCACAAAATAAGAGAATTAAATGTGGGCTGCTAAATATCAGGTCTCTGTCCTCTAAAGCTGTTTTAGTGAATGAATTAATATCAGATTGTGATATTGATTTACTTTGTCTTACTGATACCCAGTTGTCCCACGAGGAGTATGTTAGCCTAAATGAATCCACCCCCCCCAGTCATATTAATACTCACATTTCTCGAGGCACTGGCCTTATTAGCAGCCATATATGATTCGAGCGTTTTAATGGACCCTAAACCTAAACTAAATTATAATTCATTTGAAAGCCTTGTTCTTAGTCTTTCTCACCCAAACTGGAAAACATTGCAGCCAGTTCTATTTGTTATAGTTTACCATGCTCCTGGACCGTACTCTGATTTTATATCTGAATTCTCAGAGTTTTTATCAAGTTAAGTCCTTAAATCAGATAAAGTAATTATTGTAGGTGATTTTAATATTCATGTGGATGTTAACAATGACAGCCTTAGTAACGCATTTATATCATTAATAGACTCAATTGGCTTCTGTCAGAGGGTAAATAAACCAACTCATTGTTTTAATCACACTCCTGACCTTGTTCTATCATATGGCATTGATATTGAACATTTAATAGTCTTCCCACCTAATCCTTTCCTATCTGACCATTTTTTTATAACTTTCCTATTATTAGATTATAAGCCATTAGGCAAAACTTCCTACAGCAGATGTCTATCTGACAGTGCTGTAGCTAAATTTAAGGAGGAGATTCCTTCAGTGTTTAATTCAATGCCATGTCTGAATTTAACAGAGTCCTATAACGACTTTAGTCCCTCTGAAATTGATAATCTTGTCGATAGTGCTCACTACGATCAACATTAGACTCTATCGCTTCTATAAAAAGGAAATTATTAAAACATGGGAGACTAGCACCTTGGTATAACCACCAAACCTGCCAGTCAAAACAAATAGCTAGGAAATCTGAAAGGAAATGGCACAAATTATCAGAATATCGCTCAATTTGGCATGATAATCTTAAAACCTATAGAAAGGCCCTCCGTAATGCCAGAGGAGCCTATTACTCAGCACTAATAGTGGCTCCTGTTCTACTTTTAGAGACTATAGGAACCACAAGTAGCCCAGCATTCAGAGAACGTAGTGTTCTAGTGGGGTAATAGGGTACTATGAGCTCTTTAAGATATGAAGGGGCCTGACCATGAAGAGCTTTATAGGTGAGGAGGAGGATTTTAAATTCAATTCTACATTTTACAGGGAGCCAATGCAGAGAAGCTAGTACAGGAGAGATGTGATCTCTTTTTCTAGTTCCTGTCAGTACTCGTGCTGCAGCGTTCTGAATTAATTGGAGCGTTTTAATGGACTTATTGGGGCAACCTGATAATAAAGAGTTGCAGTAATCCAGCCTTGAAGTAACAAATGCATGGATTAGTTTTTCTGCATCTGTCTGTGATAGTATATGTCTAAATTTTCTAATATTACGTAAATGAAATGAATAGTACCCTATTACCCCTCTAGAACACTACGCTCTCTGAATGCTGGGCTACTTGTGGTTCCTATAGTCTCTAGAAGTAGAACAGGAGCCAGAGCCTTCAGTTACCAAGCTCCTCTCCTGTGGAACTAGCTTCCAGTTGTGGTTCGGGAGGCAGACACCCTCACCACATTCAAGAGTAGGCTTAAGACATTCCTCTTTGATAAAACTTATAGTTAGGGCTGGATCAGGTGAGTCCTGAACCATCCCTTAGTTATGCTGCTATAGGCCTAGACTATCGAGGGATTTCCCATGGTGCACTGAGCTCCTCCCTTCCTCTCTCTTTCTGCACTCATTCATGTTCCATTAATGCATGTTACTAACTTCACTTCTTCCCCGGAGTTCTTGTGCTTTCTCGTCTCGCAGGTTCTTATCGATCCTGGTGGAGCCTCCTGCCATGGTCCTGCTAGATTGCCATTGCCAATACTGTTGTTGCTGTGCACCTGTCTGTCTGTCTGTCTCTCGCGCTGTTTTAAAGAGTTCAGTCTAGACCTGCTCTATTTGAAAACTGTCCTGAGATAACTTCTGTTATGAATTGGCGCTATACAAATAAAATTGAATTGAATTGAATTGAATTGAATTGAATTGAATTGAATTGAATTGAACACACAGTGCATCGCAGATTGTTGCGTATGGGGCTGTGTAGCTGCAGAACATTCAGAGTGCCCAGGTGGTCATAATGTTATGGCTGATTTGTGTATCTCTACAATCACAGAATCCTTTTGATCTGACTTGCTTCAAATTGAAATAGACTAGATTGCAGTTTACTAGGTCTTAGAAAGGAGAATTACATATCATTTATTTAGCACACATAGTATATACAAAATATCTAATCAAACTATAGTGTGTAGGATTTAGTGGCATCTAGCAGTGAGACTGCTGTTTGTAAGTGCTGTCAGGGTGCTGTCACAGCTGCCACCAGCATTCAATGACAGTAATTACTGCACTTCTGAAAAAAGAACCCATATGAGCTAAGTAGCTTTCAGCCAGTTAGTTTGGAAAACATGGACTGTAATATACTGACTAAGGTATCAGCAATGAGAATGGAGAAATTCCTAAGTTATTAATTATGTCCAGGTTGGTTTTATTAAAAGGACCAGCGTGTAGGATTTAGAGGCACATAGCGGTGAAGATATCAACTAACTGAACACCACTGGCGTCTGTATTTGACGACCTGGGAATGAGAACAGGCTGTGAAGTGTGAAGGAGAAACTACAGTGGCCGTGCAAAAATGTGAAAGGCCCTTTTTAAAGCTAGTGTTTTGTTTTGTCCATTCTGGGCTACTGTAGAAACATGGCGGTTCGACATGGCATGTATGAATGTGAATGAATGAATTACTTTCTGTTTATGATGGCCTTTGCCATCACAGTATGAATGCGTGTGAATGGGTGAATGTGGTATGCAGTGTAAAAGCGCTTTGAGTGGTCGGAAGACTGGAGAACCGCTATACAAGTACAGTCCATTTACCATTTAGGAAATCAGAATCACCATTCAGAATAATATGAATACGAGTATGCTCTCACCTCAGCCCTCTGATCATTAGTTTCTCCTCCTCTCGTCCCATACGGACACTCAGCAGAGATCTTATCTGACCCAGAGCAGCCAACAGGTTGATGGTGTCCTCGATCGATACTGAGTTTATGGTGTAGGTCTTCGGAAGAGCCCGCACCTGGACAGACAGAGACAGATTTGTATCTTTTAGAACTTACTGCTAAGGTCCTAAATGTGATGCTGATAACAGACTGAGTGAGCAGCAGCTGGTTTGGACACACTGCTTCGTGCTTTTTGTTTTGGTGCCAATGTTAACAGGTCAAAGCTGCCACACTGCCCGCTTGAGTGTCACTTAACTAACTTCACTAGCAACACAAGGTCTCACCTGTTTTCTGTGAGTTGCATGTGGTTCCCAGCAAAAACAGACAGAGGATCTGTTCATAGTCATACCATTATACCAGTAACATATATACCTTTCACAACAGTTTCAATGTCTATTTCTGCAGAATCACTCTCTGTGTGGACACCACAGGTGTGCAAGCTTCAGCAGTTCAGCGTGGCAGCTGTCACTCACTGCTCATGCAAGCAGTGTGTCCAAACTGCTATGTTCAGAAAGACAATGTGAAAGAGAAAAAATCATAGTAAAGAAGGAACATTCATTAATAATTTATTGTTCCTTTAAAGTCTTACACATGTTACACATCATTTATGTTCTTTAATAAATTACTCTTTTTGTTTGAGACAGATATTCTATTTCCTTTCCTTTCTTATATAGTTAGTACAATATGAATGTCAACTTTGTATTCACAGAAGTTTTATAGAGGGAAAGAAGTATGGTTTGGTTTGCATGACATCTTATTAATTTAACAACTGTTACACTTCTGCTAACTTGTGAAGTAAACTATTTCCACACCAGATAATTGTTATGATAGATATTGGATTCAGGCCTTGGACCTTGGCTGTTATGCGGCATGCGCCTTAGGCTCATGTCTGTCATATTCTAATGTATCAGTATAAACCGGCTTCACTGGTATGGTGTCATGATTAAAAGAAACACACACAGACATGTACCAACCTGTCCTCCAATGCCGTCATACTGGCGGTGCAACAGGACAAACATGGCTCTGACCAGCTCTGGATCCTCAATAACTGACTCCTGAGCCCAGCGGACCATTGTATCTGAAATCAACTGCTGTAACGTACCTACAGAGACAACCAGACAGAAAGAGAATTAGGGGGTGGTTGGGGGATTGTGGGTCCATTATCAGAAAATCTTATTTCTTCTCAAATTTTTCTCCTATGTTGTTGACTTCAAAAATGCATGAGCGTCTGCTGTAAAAACTGTTGTGTTGTGCTGGAGGAAAAATGACGTCAGTAACAACAAGTGCGCTGTCAAGATATGACTGATATGACAAAATACACTGCATTTCTTTCCCCAAAGCATTTTTCATACAGTCCAACCCCCTCCAATATATACATGAACTGGGAAGTGCATTAGAACAATCTGTAGCACCTCCTTAGATACTGTTTTATCCACATTCCTTAATGTCATTTCACCTTGACACAGGTCCTTACTATGGTAATGGCCGAAAAAATCAAATACAGACACACACGACAGACGGTTAATTAACAGTGTTATGAATCTGTGTTTAATTTGGTGTATATCAACAACATTTTGAAGGTCTGTAAAGACTAACCTTAAAAAAGGGCACTTTTATAGTTATCTATCAATTTGATTGTAATAGATGTGTACCTATATGTTGATCACACTGTTTCAACATTGCACAATGGTCCTTCAATTAATTAAGCGTTTTAATTAAGCTATATAAAGTAGCCTGTAGCCTATACATGAATCTGGGGAAGTACCATAAATATAAAAGTCACCATCACTGCGGTGGCGTCTTCCTACAGTACTTCAACTTCAAAAACATTTCAACTACATTTATTTAAAAATGTAATTTTCGGCGCTGTTGAGCAGGCAATGGAGTAGGTCGGGTTTGGTTTGAGCTCTCGTCAAACTTTTGTATTATTTTAAGTTAATAAGCGCCTTTCATTAAGAAATACTGACAATCTTGCTTCGAACATATTCCCTAAGTTAAGTGTACATGTGTATGCATGTAGATGGCGGCAAATCTGCGTAAATATAAATTTGCCGAGTCAACCAAATCTAGGCCCAACACCGCCTCGTCCACGAGTTCTTCATCTCCCCGGGCCTGCCAATCAGCCAAGTGATGGATGCTGAAACCCTGAAGAGAGATATCTTGCTTTCACTAAAGACTGACATTGCAGCAGAGATAAAAACAGAGATGAAAAGTGCACTGGCTGAAGATTTCGACTTTCTTAAGAAAGAGTTGCAAGCGGTGAAAGTAGAAATAAAGAACAACACGGCCGCAATTAACTCCGAAATCGACCAGATGAAAGCTACAATTAAAGAGGTGGAAGGTGGGCTAACGACCTGGTCGGACGAGGTGGCGGTTTTACAGACTATGGTGAGTGACCTGGCAGCAGAGGTGACTGGACTCAGAAACAAGTGTGAGGACATGGAGGGAAGACTGAGGAGGTGTAACATCAGGATCCTTGGGGTGGCGGAAACGAACGGATCAAGCTCTACAACATCGGTCTCAGAGCTACTGAGAGAAGCGCTACAGCTGGATAGAGACGTGCTTGTGGACCGCTCTCACAGAAGTCTTGGTCCAGACAGGAAGGATGGGAAACTACGCGCCATCATAGCCAAACTCCACTACTACCAGGACTGTGTTGAGGTACTGAGCCAGGTGCACTCCCGTGCTCCTCTTCGGCTCAACGGTGAGACAATTGCTATCTTTCCTGATTATACTACGAGTGTCGCCAAGGCCGGGGCGGCATTCAATGAGGTCAGGAAGCTGCTCCGTAATCGGCAGGGAGTCCGGTACGGTATCCTGTTTCCAGCTCGTCTCCGCATCACGTTCAATGGCGAGGAAAAGGAGTTCATAGATGCAAGCAAAGCGATGAGCTACGTCAAGAAGAATGTCATCTCTACAGCAGAGAGTTGAGTGAGTAATTTGGCCCTGGCTAAATTATCGTCCCTGGACGATATTTGTTTGAACAAACTTTTGCTGTAACAAGGAGGATGTGATGCCATTTCTGGCATTTTGCAGTGATTTTCAGCGGTTTTTTGCTTTGTATTTGAACGAACTCCTCCTAGAGAATTTATGGAATCTGCTTCAAAATTAGTCAGTACAGTCAACATATGTTGTTAAAAGTTGTGCTATTTGTGCATGTACGTTGAAGGGCGTGTCCTTGGCGTGCACGGTGTCTGAAACGCATGACAATGTAGAGCGGTCTCCCTCGGCTTTCAGCGATGAGGGCTTGGGTGTGGGGCGACGTTGCGTGGTGCGGCTGCGGCGGGCAACCGACGTGCAGGCCCCAATGTGGGGAGATGGCGAAGTCCCGCCCAACGCTGCTTGCAGCTTCAATTATTATTATTGTTAGGGGCCGAGCCAGTATCAACTGGAAGGTCCCTATTGTTTTTGCTATGTTTATTAGGGCCCGAGGACAAATCGTGCGAAGACGTACAGAAAAGCCTCTTGGACCCATACTCCAAACCCCACGGGAAGTTGGCCATTTTCATTTTCGGCAAACTTTTTGCCTTGTATTTGAACGAACTCCTCCTAGGGAATTTCTCGTATCTACTTCAAAATTGGTCAGTACAGTCAAAAAACTGCTGATTAAAAGTTGTGCTATTTGTGACTGTACGTTGAACGGCGTGTCTGTGGCGTCAAATTCGACCACGTTGAATTTCGCAGCCATTTTCGGCAATTTGTTGCGTTATATTGGAACAAACTCCTCCTAGGGATTTCATCGGATCTACTTCAAAATTGGTCTATATAGATGGAAAATGTTGCTGATTAAAAGTTGTGCTATTTGTGCAAGTACATTAAAGGGTGTGTCCGTGGCGTGGCATCAAAGTCAGCCATTTTTACTTTTTCTGTCATTTTCTGTGATTTTTCGTGTTGTATTTGAACAAACTCCTCCTGGGAAATTCATCGGATCTGCTTCAAAATTGGTCAGTACAGTCAAACTATCTTGCTGATTAAAAGTTGTGCTATTTGTGCATGTACGTTGAAGGGCGTGTCCTTGGCGTGCAGTCAAAGTTGGCCAGGTTGAATCGAATGTCAAACTGTGATGCCATTTCCGGCATTTAAGGGCTTCTGTTTTTACTAAGTCCTCCTACAGATTTAATCAGATTGACTTCAAATTCGATCACTGCAATCTAGACACATTGGTGATCAAAAGTTGTGCTATTTGTGACTGTAGGTTCAACCGCGTGCCCGTGACAACGTGTCAAATTCCGCCGATTGGCCATAAAACAGATAGTACTCATATCTTCAGTGTACAGTCCAACCATGAACACGTCCTCACAACTTCAGTGTACATGGTCCAATTTCAATGAAACTTCACACGTTTGATAACAGTCCCGCCCTGAACACATCTACATGAAAATATTCAGATATAGAGATAGCGCCACCTACTGGCAACAGGAAATAAGCGCTGCAATGCAATTTTGATCTGATTTCCGTGACATTTCCATGTTGTGGTCTGCACGTCTTACGACAGCACACCCCGAGTTGCGTGGAGTGCGAGGGCCCGTTCATCGCTGCTTGCAGCTTTAATTAGGGACCGAGCACTGACCGGTGAAAGGCCTTATTGTTATTGAAGGAATTATTAGTGACCAAGCCAGCAACCGCTGGAGGTCCCTATTGTTATTGCTATGTTTCTTCTTATTATTATTTTTAGCGCCTCTGACTGCGTTTTTGCCCCCCTGAACATATACGAAAACTCAATTTTATTTGGCAAAGTCGTCAGGCCTGGTGAAACATGTGATATTCTATGTGTCGCTTTTGGGTCAGCCACTAGGTGGCGCTACTATTAAGAAAAGTGTGTTGACTTTTTGGTTACTTAATAACTCCCACATCGTTTTTCGCACATTCAAAAACCTTATATCCACGTGTTCGGTGAATAGAGCTGAATCTCCCCATATAGGCCACGCCCACTTCCGCCTATAATTTCTTTTCATTAGAGCGCAAAATGTCCATAAACTACTTTTTTGTGTTCCTCCTATGCGTTTTGTCTGATTCACACAAACATTTTCACGTAGCATCTGGAGATAAAGTCATTCGAAGAATTTTGATAAGTAAGTATAAAGTAAGCACGTTATAAAATTAGCACTTCCTGTAAATTTTCCGTTAAAAAAGGAGGTGGACCATTTCTCCACATTGGTATGTCCAATTGACACCAAGCTTGGGTCCATAGTTCTCCATGTCTTCCTTAGGCATCGTGCACAATTTCAGGCCATCGCCACAAGGTGGCGCTCCTTAAAATTAAGTTTATATCTCCGTATTGACACATGTGATTAAAATGAAACTTAGTACAATGCTTGCCCATGGCTCCCTGAGGCTCCTTAAAAAAATGTGTCAAAGATCCACTAGTTGGGGCTCTGATGGCATGGTAAATCCATGTGCGGAGATCGTAATAGTTATGAATATGAAATTCACAGGGCACGTGTAGACTGGTGCCTGAAGCTCACATACCAAAAATGTTTAAAAGATCAATTTCAAAATTGGTCAGTACAATCAAAACAAACTGTAGATAAAAAGTTGTGCCTGTGTGTCAAATAGCATGTCCATGGCGTGGCGTCAAATTTCAACAACTGACTTTCAATGAAAAAGGAAGTTGTCATAACTTCAGCGTACATGATCAATCTCAACGAAACTTCACAGCACATGTTACGACTGCACGTGTTACAACGGCAAAATCTTGGCCAATGTTTATTTAATAGGGACGATTCAATGTTCTTTACCAGTCTTTTCTCCCGCTTACCAAACATGACATCGCACTACCTTATCCTTGGTGGTGACATGAACTGTACACTCTCCACTCGTAGTTCGCCCAGATTGTCAGCGAACTATCGTCTGGGTCGGCACGCTCTACGAGTAGTGGATGTGTGGCATTTTTATAATCCTGCTTCCAGGAGTTACTCCTTTTTCTCCCCAGTTCATAACACATACTCCCATATAGACTATTTTTATGTTGGACAAAAAACTACTTCCCCTTATAACCAGATGTGATTATGGACCCATAGTTATTTCAGATCACTGCCCCTTAACTATGAGAATGCGCATCCCAGATACACAATTCAGTTATCGCCCTTGGAGACTCAACCC